CCATAGACTGTGTATATATTATACCACGACCAACACATACACCATAGACTGTGTAGATATTATACCACGACCAACAGATACACCATAGACTGTGTATATATCATACCAACACATACATCATAGACTGTGTATATACTATACCACGACCAACACATACACCACAGACTGTGTATATCTTATACCACTACCAACACATACACCATAGACTGTGTATATATTATACCAACAGATACACCATAGACTGTGTAGATATTATACCACGACCAACACATACACCATAGACTGTGTAGATATTATACCACGACCAACAGATACACCATAAACGGTGTATATATTATACCAACACATACACCATAGACTGTGTAGATATTATACCACGACCAACAGATACTACATAGACTGTGTATATATCATACCAACACATACACCATAGACTGTGTATATACTATACCACGACCAACACATACACCATAGACTGTGTATATATTATACCAACACATACACCATAGACTGTGTATATATTATACCACGACCAACACATACACCATAGACTGTGTATATATTATACCACGACCAACACATACACCATAGACTGTGTATTTATTATACCAACACATACACCATAGACTGTGTAGATATTATACCACGACCAACAGATACACCATAGACTGTGTATATATCATACCAACACATACATCATATACTGTGTATATACTATACCACGACCAACACATACACCACAGACTGTGTATATCTTATACCACTACCAACACATACACCATAGACTGTGTATATATTATACCAACAGATACACCATAGACTGTGTAGATATTATACCACGACCAACACATACACCATAGACTGTGTAGATATTATACCACGACCAACAGATACACCATAAACGGTGTATATATTATACCAACACATACACCATAGACTGTGTAGATATTATACCACGACCAACAGATACTACATAGACTGTGTATATATCATACCAACACATACATCATAGACTGTATATATTATACCACGACCAACACATACACTACAGAATGTGTATATATTATACCAACACATACACCATAGACTGTGTATACATTATACCACGACCAACACATACACTACAGAATGTGTATATATTATACCAACACATACACCATAGACTGTGTATACATTATACCACGACCAACACATACACTACAGAATGTGTATATATTATACCAACACATACACCATAGACTGTGTATATATTACACCACGACCAACACATACACTTCAGACTGTGTATGTATTATACCACGACCAACACATACTACATAGACCGTGTGTATATTATACCACGACCAACAGATACACCATAGACTGTGTATATATAATACCAACACATACACCATAGACTGTGTATATATTACACCACGACCAACACATACACTTCAGACTGTGTATGTATTATACCACGACCAACACATACTACATAGACCGTGTGTATATTATACCACGACCAACAGATACACCATAGACTGTGTATATATAATACCAACACATACACCATAGACTGTGTATATATTATACCACGACCAACACATACACCACAGACTGTGTATGTATTATACCACGACCAACACATACACCATAGACTGTGTATATATTATACCACGACCAACACATACACTACCGACTGTGTATATATTATACCACGACCAACACATATACCATAGACTGTGTATCTATTATACCAACACATACACCATAGACTGTGTATATATATATAATACCAACGCATACACCATAGACTGTGTATATATTATACCACGACCAACACATACACCATAGACCGTGTGTATATTATACCACGACCAACACATACACCATAGACTGTGTATATATATATAATACCAACGCATACACCATAGACTGTGTATATATTATACCACGACCAACACATACACCATAGACCATGTGTATATTATACCACGACCAACACACACACCATAGAATGTGTATATATAATACCAACACATACACCATAGACCATGTATATATTATACCAACACATACACCATAGACTGTGTATATATTATACCACGACCAACACATACACCATAGACTGTGTATATATTATACCACGACCAACACATACACCATAGACCGTGTGTATATTATACCACGACCAACACATACACCACAGACTGTGTATGTATTATACCACGACCAACACATACACTTCAGACTGTGTATATATTATACCAACACATACACCATAGACTGTGTATATATTATACCACGACCAACACATACACCATAGACTGTGTATACATTATACCACGACCAACACATACACTACAGACTGTGTATGTATTATACCACGACCAACACATACACTTCAGACTGTGTATATATTATACCAACACATACACCATAGACCATGTATATATTATACCACGACCAACACATACACCATAGACTGTGTATATATTATACCACGACCAACACATACACCACAGACTGTGTATGTATTATACCACGACCAACACATACTACATAGACTGTGTATATATTATACCACGACCAACACATACACTACCGACTGTGTATATATTATACCACGACCAACACATATACCATAGACTGTGTATATATTATACCAACACATACACCATAGACTGTGTATATATTATACCACTACCAACACATACTACATAGACAGTGTATATATAATACCACGACCAACACATACACCATAGACTGTGTACATATTATATCACTACCAACACATACTACATAGACTGTGTAGATATTATACCACTACCAATACATACACCATAGACCGTGTGTATATTATACCACGACCAACACATACACCATAGACCGTGTGTATATTATACCACGACCAACACATACACCATAGACTGTGTATATATAATACCAACACATACACCATAGACCGTTTATATATTATACCACGACCAACACATACACCATAGACTGTGTATATATAATACCAACACATACACCATAGACCGTGTATATATATGTAATGTACATTACATTTACACCATAGACTATGTATATATTATACCACGACCAACACATACTACATAGACTGTGTATCTATTATACCAACACATACACCACAGACTGTGTATGTATTATACCACGACCAACACATACACCACAGACTATATATTATACCACGACCAACACATACACCATAGACTGTGTATATATTATACCACGACCAACACATACACTACAGAATGTGTATATATTATACCAACACATACACCATAGACTGTGTATATATTATACCACGACCAACACATACACCACAGACTGTGTATGTATTATACCACGACCAACACATACTACATAGACTGTGTATATATTATACCACGACCAACACATACACTACCGACTGTGTATATATTATACCACGACCAACACATATACCATAGACTGTGTATATATTATACCAACACATACACCATAGACTGTGTATATATTATACCACTACCAACACATACTACATAGACAGTGTATATATAATACCACGACCAACACATACACCATAGACTGTGTATATATTATACCACTACCAACACATACGTCATAGACTGTGTATATATTATACCAACACATACACCACAGACTGTGTATATATTATACCACGACCAACACATACACCACAGAATGTGTATATATTATACCACGACCAACACATACACCATAGACTGTGTATATATTATACCACGACCAACACATACACCACAGAATGTGTATATATTATACCACGACCAACACATACACCACAGACTGTGTATATATTATACCACGACCAACACATACACCACAGAATGTGTATATATTATACCACGACCAACACATACACCACAGACTGTGTATATATTATACCACGACCAACACATACACCACAGAATGTGTATATATTATACCACGACCAACACATACACCACAGACTGTGTATATATTATACCACGACCAACACATACACTGTAAAATGGGTATGTAGTGCGGTTTCCCAGGTCAACCTTGAGTGGATGGTAATACCGAAAGCTGCAGTTTCAATGAGATGCACTTTAAAGATATTCACATTATTTTATGCAACTTCCTCCCTCCATTTTTAATTTTATATATCAAAGCTTGTTTAGTCAATTGTAATGGCAGTTTCAACCAGATCCAGTGAGATTTGCTTTTCTGCTTTAATCGTGATCGACTACTCCCGATAGAAATATACATTTTTGTACTAATGTTACCAAACCCAGTAAAAGAACAGGTGATGTTTGTGTGTGGGACAGTTACAATGCTCCTCGGACGAGATACGTTAGGAAGATACGTGCTGGAGATATAACTCTCCTATACACAAGATATCCGTGACTGTACAGAGGAACAGATTATCTCATCTTACATAGGTTTTCATGTAAACGCCCATTGTGATATTGTGATGTATTAAGTACTAGATAGGTACTAGGAAGTTCGACAGTAGGATCTGCTATAACGTTTACTGAAACGTCCACATATAACATCTATCCTCCGTTGGTATGATCGAAATTCATAGTTTGTCTCTCACTTTGTTGTGATGGTATCTAACGTTAATAACGGTTATTGGTTTGTAGATTCATTACACTATAACAACTTCAAAGTGAAGAAAACGTGAAACTCGTGGTATATGATGAAGAAAACAATAAATTTGTTTCATTTACCGATATCAATTCAACAGTGCAAAAGAACCAATCATTTCAAGTGTTACAAAACATTCATATATAAATCAGAATATATGTCTCAGCAACATAAACATTCATAAACAAACTCGGAGTCTTGGACGGAGGGGAGAAAACTTGGACAGAGACGTGAAACCAAATATTTGGAACGATACTGGAAAAAATAAACCAGACGTCAAGGAAAAAGCAGAAAAAAAACATATTTTTTCCAGAAAGTTACGATTACTCTATCTTTTATGTTTTTCTTTTTGTTTCTTTCAGGTTTTTTCGAACACTCCCGCAGAGGGAGAACTTCAGCGAGGAGATATTTTTCTCGAGATAAACGGGAGAGACGCAGAAGGATTTACACACAAACAGGCTTTAGACCAGATCAAGTTTGGCGGAGGGCAAATCGAACTCTTGATAGAAAGGTATGAGGGGAGTGGGTACCGCACATACAGATGTACATAGAAGACGGGAAGTGGGTGTAGCTTCTACATATCACAAATGATCATTATTGATGGAAGATATTGTAAATTTTATCCAGGTCTCTAGCATCTCTAGCAAAAATACCAAAGTGTTAACAAAAGCTTAATACAAACTCATTATCGATAGAACAGGGGCAAACCATTAACAAATGATAGATATACGAAGCGGTCATCGGAAATGTATATTGAGAACCACTTGTTCCGGGGTGTAGATTCTGTCGGGTTCTCAAATGGCAAAAAGGTTAACAACAACGGAACCACAAGACATAATAATGAGCAGCTGCTACACGTTAACACCACCGAGTGGGGATACATGATTGTGACTATACAGAAATGGGAAAAATCATAGGGAAATCAAAATCCCTACTCTTGTCAAACATGCTAGTGTAACGCTGTTTCTTTTGGTTTCGAGGTAGGAAAGTAAAGTTTCAAAATAAGCTTCGTTTATTTACAGTAAAGACGAGGCAGTAAGAGACAGTACTGATGCCTAGCGACTAGCATACCATGTTGTTTAACAAAACTTTGTCCTATGTTTTGTACAAATGTAATATGATACTTTATGATATTTAGATTAAAGTATGGTTTAACTGTTTACAACATCGGTGCTTAGACCAATTAAATGTATGATGAATTATGAACGGTTTGAACGTTATGTCATATCCACTGTTTGTTTGTTAAATCGTACAGACCGGCTACACCAAACATCAACCCTCTTCATCCTCAAAGTCCAACACGAGCTCCATCTAACCTCCCGGCTGTCTTACCTGGTGCGGTAAGTTTTACGAACAGTAAGGCCGCTTTAACCGACTGTTTAATCACACGAACACACTGATATACAGAAACAAATTATTTGCTGCTTAAATACTAGAGAAGTTTTTAATCTTGGGTAACTTTTTATCGATATTTCTAATTCTAGTTATTTCTAGTTCTTAAATAATTATCAAATTTATTTCGACCGTCGTTGAAAAATACGAATCAGTGATGGTGTAACCCGACTTTAGATATAAATGAAATTGCGTTGATCTCCACAGATCCAGATTCCTATAAAGAAGCGACCAGACCCGGTATACGCAGCCCCCAGCATGCCACCACCACAGAACACATCCGGGCACCAGCCTAAAAAAATAACACTCAACCAGTTCGGAGGCGGTACCACTAATTATGGTTCCAGCTACGGTAAGCCCTCGGTGAAAACCGGGTGGTCCCCGCAATCACCCCCTTCCTCCCAACAACAGTATTCCCCTCATCCCAATATGATGGTGCGTGTCCAGGATAGTCTTGATAGTGCTCTGTCACCCAAGTCTTTCTCCTCGTACCAGCAGCCCGTTCAACACCAAGCTCCTCCTCCAATGCGCCAGTTCAGTGCCGGGCCATCCTTTCCCACTCAAGCTGTGTCTGCGGCACAGGCAGAACTGCAGGACCAACAGCCCAGTTATATCCGGTCAAGTGACCCTGTGCCCGAGGAGGATTACACGTATATCCCTGTATCACAAAGGAAGCAGACATTTAATTCTAAACCTGCACCACCACAGCGTAAGTAATTCCTCCATAATTATAAATCGTTGATCGTATCGTTTTTAAACTTTTAAAAAAGTTGCAAACATTAACAGGTATGCCTAACGATGATTCCAATTTAAACTTAAATAAAACACTCACCTGAGTCTTCAAAAAAATGTGAGATCACTTACCTAATGTCTCTTGATTTCCCGGTGTAATCAAGCTAACTGACACACATTTCCTGTTACTTTCTGTAAACTGCCATTTTCTGCGCCGTCCTGTGTCGTAACGACTAGGGTGTGTCTTGTTCTGTCACGTGATGGCCCTGCTCGCCTGTAGTGTACTCATCCCTTGCTATTGGTAATCTCCCATCCTTCCAGATATCACCCTTTTGAATCCTAATTGCTAGTGTGGTTTGTGGTTTGATGCTTGTGGGATTTTATCTAGGTACTTTAAAATCATACCTTATGTATCATTGTATTGTAAATATGATAATTATCATTAAACACAATCATTTGGACACAACAGAGGACATGCGTTATAATAACGGCAACAACGAGTTCCAAGAGGTTGCTGAGGAGGAGGAAGATAATTATCCAACAGCTCCAGTTTGGGAACGACGAAAAATGTTTGGTCAAGCAGCACCGGCTAAGAAAGGTGACCAATTAGATTAGCACAAGGCAGCCTGCAGTAATCGTCTATGTCCCAAAGACATGTTGTAGTGCTTCTGGCATAGGAATTAATGCTAACACGGTCGTAACTTGAAGAATGAGAGAAAGAACATTGTAAAAATAGATATAGAAGTTGAGGAAAATGGCTTCAATGCAAATTTGTATATCATAATTGAAAATCATTTCAACTTTAACGTCGCGCTGATGACCAATCAGTTTTAATACTCTTTCTTCATGATTATGAATACTTATTATATTGATGTTTACACGTGAAGAACACACAGAGTTGTAACTATACTAAGAAGGTAGTATTTATGATTTATTTTGTAGTTCCTTAACAGATGTAGATATACACGTTAAACACATAGGACGTTGTATAGGTGCAAAGTAACAGAACTAGAGTGACGTGGAAGATCAATTCTAGACAATCCAAAATGTGATCAAAACAGGACTTCGACGCTGACGCACCAGAAAGCAATTAAAAAAGTACAATTCATTTTTAACAAAGTGGAGAGCAATTTTAAAAGTAAAGTCCAATGTTAACGAAGCGGTAAGTAATTTAAACCATAGATTTCAATGTTATAGAAATGGAGATTAATTTTTAAAAAGTAGAATTCGAATTTAACGAAGCGGAGAGTAATTGAAAATGTAGAATTCAATGTTAACGAAGAATAAACGCTTAGTTATGCAGTGTTAGGTATTGTATGTTTGAGTGCTGTATACGTCATCACTTACTGAGTACTTGATTCATAAGTAACCCAGTATAGGTAAGCATAGATCCGCCATCATGAAACTTTTTTGGTAATCGTCAAGGTGCCTGCCATGTTCACACAATCAACAGATAATGTTCACAACTGTGATGTAGATCAGTTGATAAGTGATCCTGTACCTGATCACAGTGTCTATAAAATCTACTTACACGAATACTTGTGTTGTAGAACATTTCATCGATATGATATCCTATGTATAGTACATACTGTCAAAGTAGTCGAGCGCATGCCTACACATCTCACACGTGCACTGTTGATCATTAACACGTGCATGCTTTTCTGTAGCTAGTACTTATATTTGTGCGTTACTTTTTTACGTTAATATTGATGCACAGTATTAATACTGTTCATGTGTCCGTGTTATTGATCTTTGTAAGATAGATGTCTGATTAACGATATTATGTTCTATTTGTTATCAAAATGATAAACAACAGAGAAAATGTCATCGATATGTTTACGTTGCAGTATTTGTCCATTGTTTTACTGATTAACATAAGAGATAGTCCTCAATTATCGTTGTTACGTTTTGAATCGTTATGTCTAGGTATTAAATCCGATGAATTATCGGTGGTCAAGGTCAAAGGTCAAAGTCACACTATTACTCTGGAGGTTATCAAAATTTAAACAGTATTTCTATAAAAGCTTATTAGTAGGAATTCCATTTTCACGTTAAGTCAGTCATCAGTCAAACTCAAAGTGTCTAATGCTATATTTGGCCACATTTGAAATAGAAATAGAAAGGACTGTGAAAAAAACACGTGAATGACACCTTTCAACACAAAATGTATAGAATTAGATACAATACAATGAGTAAAACTGCAACATATTTATCAAAATGTGTATAAAAGTGATTTTGTTGTAATTAGAATTTCCAAATATATATTAAGGTAATCACATAACCCAATACTAAACTAGAGTAATGCTTATCTAGAGATTCACAAAGTAATGCAACGTTCTCAAAGAAAGTATGGGAAGTAACAGCTAAGCATTCAGCAATACTAATGATCTTAATGAAAAAAGTCGATATTCCTATCAGTGAAGAATGGAATGATGCTGATAAACACTATTTATGCGGTGTGATCTGAAGAAACTCACCACTTTACATGTATGAAATATGTTATCATAAATGTTTGTAAAATTTGGAAAACGTTGTCTTGAATTAAGTAACGTTACATACATATTCACTAAATTCATTAAATACTTCATACAGGTTTATAGGAAATGTTTTTGTATGCTCCTTGATGTTATTTGTACATTTTCTGGAAACCTTTTTAATTTTGTGTTTTTATCCAAAATTTCATCGATTTGTAGTAAATTGTGATTCTTATTGTAGCCGATGGATAGATGTAAGTACCCATTCATTTCATTTTTTTCTTGGAATTAACTTTGAACTGTTGTAAGATTGATTCTTTTCGTGTATTCCAGCTACCCCTAAGGGTCGAAAGGGGCCGAAGCCGTTTAAACCTCAGTCACAGGACGCTGTTGCTTTTGGAGTGGATTATACCAAGGTCAGTAAGCAGCCCGAGCCCCCGAGGTTCCAGCCCGCGGCCCCACCACCACCGCCGCCACCAGTTCAGTCGAAACCGGTAAACTATAGCGGTGACACCACGGATGGATATGATAAGGCACCTGCATGGTCTAGCTCGTTGAGATCCTCCAACGTCATCAAACCTTGGGAACTGGAACAACAGGAGAGCTTCATGCCTTCTCAGAACACACCCCAGCGAGGAGCCCCGCCCTCCGTCAGCCCCAAACCGACGTCGCCAAGACCCCCTCCACAGGCTCCGGTCCAGAGGCAGCTCTCCGTCAGGTCGGTGGTTAACGGCGCGCCCCACGGTGACGGTGGTGATACCAGGGTGGTTCACTTACAGTACAATTCTCCCATGGGCTTGTATTCCGGGGCCAATATAAAGGACACATATAAAGGTCAAACACAAGGTCGATATCCGTAAGTTAACGAGGTGGAGACTAGCCGCCAAGGCATGCCACCATACCTGTAGCGGCGGCACCACATAGTGCATCAAGTCCATGATAGTAGCCACGCTCACAAATCCCTTATAAACACAACCAGACGTTGTTGAGAGTTGACGGTTTTGTGTTTATGTAAGAAGGACTTTTGGAAAAGAAAGTCTTTGTAGTTTATTGCGCATGTGCATTGAGCTCTTTAGATATGAAATAAGATTTACACAAAATGGAATGAGACGCATAAGACCAGAGTCTTATGGATGGAATATATTGTGCATATAGTAATACCAGCATTTAATTAATTTTGTTATTTCTAGCAAAAGTATACATCAGATATTCACATAGTATAACATTTCTCACGTGCATGTGAATACTGAAATTACGAGATAATCGCTTGCGCAACTTGTATTATGAATGAAGAATTAGCCAGGGTATTACTAAGAAGAATTGTTACAATGTGTCAGCTTTCCTTCATCGCGTTAACTTATGGTATCCGAACATATAAAGCTGATAAAGACGACACACTCGATAGATAACTGAAGTCATGTATGTGTGATTTCTAATAAAAATAAAACAGCAAGGTGTTTTGGCATGAAAAAGTAGAATTAATCTAAACACATTGGTTGGCTATCATGGACTGATGGTGTGGAAGTGAGACGTCACGCAGGACCCTGCAACGGTAGAGTAGATTCTGACTAGTATCCGTCTTAACAGCATGTCCACACCCTTGTCCACTACCACGTGTGTACCTGTGTCTGTTAGGTGTACTGGCATGTTCCCAATCGGTAGGGATGGAGGACATCTCTGCATGATGTATCCCCTATGATAAGGGTGGTGGAGGCAGGATAAATCCCATATTTATATCACGCGCTTTTTTTTGGGGGGGGGGGGGTGAGGGGGGGGGGCGGTTAGCGTACCTGCCCATATGAATTGTTACCTCTATTTCGATTTCCTTCAAATCACCAAATCAGAGCCTTGGCACCACTGACGAGGCCTCTAGGGATGGAACATAAGAAGGTGTTTTACTCTTGTGAGTCTTTTGTACAATCTTTGTTACCTCCCTTTGATAAGTAGATAGCATTTAGAATTATCATTTAAAGTTTGCTGAAAGTTTGTGCATTTAAGTTGAAATCATTGTGTTTTGTTTGCGGTGTTAGATTAGACTCCGAGTGGTAGTTCTGCTTCATTAAGGGATGGTTTTTGTCGGCTAATCCAGCTGTGTTTGTGTATCGTATTAATTATAAATTGTAAACGAATAAAAGAGGAAACGAAGTATTGTTTGATTAAAGAAGGGAAGCGAGGTAACTCTATTTAGGAGACCAGCAATTCAACGGGAACATGCCAGAAATCTGATTCTCAAATCGGCGTAGGTTTAATTCCTGGTTAAAAAGTGGGTCCAGTTAGTTTTAATGTATTAAATCATACCTCTGTGTAGCTATCGGTCCCTCCCATGGTATATGACACGCCCATTAATGAATAAAATGGACAAGAATGCATATCATTTGCATTAATATTAACAGGTGTGTTTCCGATCATCAGTAAGTATAGGATCGGCATATTACTGCATTGTGTAGTAGGTAATATATATTTACAATGTATGAAGGAAACGTGCCACTGAAACAATGTATTTACCATAATACGTAATTTGATAAGAATCACTCAAGTTGAAATATTATTCAACCAACTGTGATTATGAAATCTTTAATTTATAAAAAAAAAAAATGAAAATTGCTAAACGAATTTCGAAAAAGCAAATACAAAACGACGTGTTTATACATATACCCCACAAATAACTTATATTTATGTTTTTAAATTAATGTTGATTTGTGAAATAAAACATATTTTTATGCTTGCAATTAGGATGTCCTCCACTGCAACGTCCACCGGGCCCGCCCCCGCCACCACCAAAACTGGAGAACGTGACTGGAGTGAGTCGCACGTGTACCGGATGTTGCACGCTCAGAAAGAGCCACCAGCATCGCATTCGGCGCCCATGGTGAACACCAAGCCCCCACCACCTCCGATGTCCTACAAGCCCGTAGCACCTCCACCTCCACAAAAGCAGTACCAACAACAAGCCCCGCAGAACAACTACGCCTTCGACGATAGCTTCGGGACGTCGGACTTCTAAGTGAGGATTGTGTTGGCAGCATGCTATCCTCAAGGCCACTTCCGGTGCTGCAACTTAACTATTAGAGGTTCTCGGCCAATGTTATAATGAGAAGAGGCGGTGACATGTGAAGTATTCATAAGCATTTTGTAAATTATAAAGACCATCCTTGTCCAAGCTACCTTGGCCCATTGCTTTGAAGCGAAACATTTCTCATTATACTTGGATTCATGCAAAGCTTTGAGTTTTGAGGTGTGTAGTGACATATCCGGTCTATTTAGAGAAAACAACGTTCTTCCGGGAACTTGTTATTTTGACAAATCGACATGGTGCTGATTGAAGTGTCTAGATAATGAAGTTATAATTACAATGAATTCCTTCGTGTTGTGGATCGAAACAAGAAATATGGTCTATGTTCATCCACCATACAAAGGGCAATGTCTTCCACAGAACGGGAAGACTATTAGATAATGAAGTAGAAACTTCGGGAAATCAATCAATTTTAATGAGATTTCGATAACATTGGTATTTATATAATTGTTATACCGTTTGGTCGGACTTGAAGAAAATGTGCAATATCATATTTATTATACATGTTTTGTGTGACGACTAGTTACACGCTTCCTGTGATTGTACTTTAAGTGTACTTATTTATATTAGAAAAATTGACTTAGATGTTCACAGACTTATGTTAGGATGTAACGATGAAATATAGTTGGCGGCCCATTGGCTTACTAACAGACGGTCATGTGATGAGATTGGACATAGGAATCGCTTTTGTGTGCTATTGTAGTATTTTCCTCCTTCCTGGAATGTTTATATACAAGTTTATGCCATAAAATAAGATTGTGCAATAAATATTTTATTTGTAAATGTGACACATTAACAGATCTTTTACACTTTTAATTTATGTTTATATCGAGATGCAAAAGGGATATATCATACACGGCAAATATTGATGAGCTAAGACGTATATAAAATAAAGTGGTCTATCATAGTCCACACGTTGTCTGTGTTTTATCACGCACCAAATCTTCACAGTTATCACTGTCAGATACCACTGACAGTGACAGCTCGGGACCTGTGTGATACCGACTGTCAGATAACACTGACAGTGACAGCTCGGGACCTTGTTAGTGTGATACCGACTGTCAGATAACACTGACAGTGACAGCTCGGGACCTTGTTAGTGTGATACCGACTGTCAGATACCACTGACAGTGACAGCTCGGGACCTTGTTAGTGTGATACCGGCTGTCAGATACCACTGACAGTGACAGCTCGGGACCTTGTTAGTGTGATACCGGCTGTCAGATACCACTGACAGTGACAGCTCGGGCCTTGTTAGTGTGATACCGGCTGTCAGATACCACTGACAGTGACAGCTCGGGACCTTGTTAGTGTGATACCAACTGTCAGATACCACTGACAGTGACAGCTCGGGACCTTGTTAGTGTGAGACCGACTGTCAGATACCATTGAGAGTGACAGCTCGGGACCTTGTTAGTATGATACCGGCTGTCAGATAACATTGACAGTGACAGCTCGGGACCTTGTTAGTGTGATACCGGCTGTCAGATAACAGTGACAGCTCGGGACCTTGTTAGTGTGATACCGGCTGTCAGATAACATTGACAGTGACAGCTCGGGACCTTGTTAGTGTGATACCGGCTGTCAGATAACATTGACAGTGACAGCTCGGGACCTTGTTAGTGTGATACCGACTGTCAGATACCACTGACAGTGACAGCTCGGGACCTGTGTGATATCGACTGTCAGATACCACTGAGAGTGACAGCTCGGGATCTTGTTAGTGTGATACCGGCTGTCAGATACCACTGACAGTGACAGCTCGGGACCTTGTTAGTGTGATACCGACTGTCAGATACCATTGAGAGTGACAGCTCGGGACCTTGTTAGTGTGATACCGGCTGTCAGATACCACTGACAGTGACAGCTCGGGACCTTGTTAGTGTGATACCGGCTGTCAGATACCACTGACAGTGACAGCTCGGGCCTTGTTAGTGTGATACCGGCTGTCAGATACCACTGACAGTGACAGCTCGGGACCTTGTTAGTGTGATACCAACTGTCAGATACCACTGACAGTGACAGCTCGGGACCTTGTTAGTGTGAGACCGACTGTCAGATACCATTGAGAGTGACAGCTCGGGACCTTGTTAGTATGATACCGGCTGTCAGATAACATTGACAGTGACAGCTCGGGACCTTGTTAGTGTGATACCGGCTGTCAGATAACAGTGACAGCTCGGGACCTTGTTAGTGTGATACCGGCTGTCAGATAACATTGACAGTGACAGCTCGGGACCTTGTTAGTGTGATACCGGCTGTCAGATAACATTGACAGTGACAGCTCGGGACCTTGTTAGTGTGATACCGACTGTCAGATACCACTGACAGTGACAGCTCGGGACCTGTGTGATACCGACTGTCAGATACCACTGAGAGTGACAGCTCGGGATCTTGTTAGTGTGATACCGGCTGTCAGATACCACTGACAGTGACAGCTCGGGACCTTGTTAGTGTGATACCGACTGTCAGATACCATTGACAGTGACAGCTCGGGACCTTGTTAGTGTGATACCGGCTGTCAGATACCACTGACAGTGACAGCTCGGGACCTTGTTAGTGTGATACCGACTGTCAGATACCACTGACAGTGACAGCTCGGGACCTTGTTAGTGTGATACCGACTGTCAGATACCATTGAGAGTGACAGCTCGGGACCTTGTTAGTGTGATACCGGCTGTCAGATAACATTGACAGTGACAGCTCGGGACCTTGTTAGTGTGATACCGACTGTCAGATACCATTGAGAGTGACAGCTCGGGACCTTGTTAGTGTGATACCGGCTGTCAGATAACATTGACAGTGACAGCTCGGGACCTTGTTAGTGTGATACCGACTCTCAGATACCACTGACAGTGACAGCTCGGGACCTTGTTAGTGTGATACCGACTGTCAGATACCATTGAGAGTGACAGCTCGGGACTTGTTAGTGTGATACCAACTGTTAGAGAGAAATGATTGACACCATGAATGCGATCGATGTTGAAAGAAATAACAACAAATGGTTACGTTTTCTATAAAATGTAATTATAACAGGAATCACAGATATTTAGTAAATCACAGTGTGTCAGGAAAATATTGTATAGTTTAAACAAAAAACGTCAGACATAGAAACGAGACGAGACACGCAAGTGTGTGTACGAGAGGATCACTAGGCACACAACCGAAAGACAACTAAATCACCTAGAATATTCTTGATTTAAATATCAATGGAAGTCTTAGTCGATGAAAACAATCCAACACTAAACACTATTCCTTCACCGACATGTCGTTTTCGTGACTTTGAGTATACGGACCTGGTTAACTTAAAACATATCTACGTTACTTATCCTAAGTTCAAATTTCTTCTGTTTACCTCAAGTGGATTCTAAAGTATATTCAGCGTCTATTATGGTAGAATTAATCAAAAGACAGAATTTTATCATTATATAAGGATCAAATGTTAAAGTCAAACGCTGCTCATATTTCCTTCTAGAGCAATTCGACAAAGTGTGTTTAAAAATAATTCACCTGTCTGACTCCACCCCAAACCCAACCTTCCTTCTGTTTTCCGTGTTCGTCTTACTTCTCAGAGAATACAGAAACGATGGACGAACAACGTTAAAAAAATAGACCGAAAACATCCTACACGTCTACAGTAAAAGTGTATGAAAAACAGTACCAGGCAATATATGATGACTTCTGTCAATTGTACATTTAATTAAGCTTGGAAAGGATGATAATGATAAATTGTCAGTATCTGCTCTTTAATATCTAAATTACTCTCCTAACCCCCCCCCCCCCACGCCCCACCCCTTCCCCGGCGACGTGCCAAAGATTGCTACGGTTGAAGATTTGCAAAGTTCCTGATAGGTTGCCCCTGCCACTCGTTCATATAATCAATGTCCCTGGCATACATGTGGGCGGTAGTATCTCTTTTTACCACATCTGTAAACAACAACATGAAAAAAAATCAGGTGTCGAACACAAATGTAACGTATGACATAATAGGTCACTTTTCAATGGATCTGCAACATAAATGCGATATTTTACACAATCTGCCTGTCTTTGCTAGATCTGTAACACAAATACAATATTTTATACAATCTATTTGTCTTTGCTAGATCTTCAACACAAAACGTGAACTTGTCCATAATCTACATATATCTCTTTTCACTTGATCTGCAATACACAATCTATCATTCTGGATCAGCACCACACTTTAGAAGATAATGTGACCTGAATACTTACGGGTGGTAGGAATCGTTCCGACAGTGTATGGAGAAAGTACTTTCCGTGTATACAGAGTACATCCAGTCGTCGCCATGTTTTCAATAAAGCTCTCCACTACTTCTGACACAGCATTAATACTGACAGCGTTTCTGACGTAGATAACCACAAGGGTGACGTCATGGTTGTACATCATCACTGTCTGAAAGAAATAAGAATCAAAAGGTCACAATAATTTAGGCCAAAAATGGAAACCAATAGTGGGGAAATGGACTTGTAGAATAGATTGTAGTGTTCCTGAACTTGTAGAATAGATTGTAGTGTTCCTTAACTTGTAGAATAGATTGTAGTGTTCCTTAACTTGTAGAATAGATTGTAGTGTTCCTGAACTTGTAGAATAGACTATAGTGTCGCTGAGCTTGTAGAATAAATTGTAGTGTTCCTGAACTTGTAGAATAGATTGTAGTGTTCCTGAACTTGTAGAATAGACTATAGTGTCGCTGAACTTGTAGAATAAATTGTAGTGTTCCTGAACTTGTAGAATAGACTAAAGTGTCGCTGAGCTTGTAGAATAAATTGTAGTGTTCCTGAACTGTAGAATAGACTATAGTGTCGCTGAGCTTGTAGAATAAATTGTAGTGTTCCTGAACTTGTAGAATAGACTATAGTGTCGCTGAACTTGTAGAATAAATTGTAGTGTTCCTGAACTTGTAGAATAGATTGCAGTGTTCCTGAACTTGTAGAATAGATTGTAGTGTTCCTGAACTTGTAGAATAGATTGTAGTGTTCCTGGACTTGTATAATAGATTGCAGTGTTCCTGGACTTGTAGAATAGATTGTAGTGTCCCTGAACTTGTAGAATAGATTGTAGTGTCCCTGAACTTGTAGAATAGATTGTAGTGTTCCTGAACTTGAAGAATAGATTGTAGTGTTCCTGAACTTGTAGAATAGATTGTAGTGTTCCTGAACTTGTAGAATAGATTGTAGTGTTCCTGAACTTGTAGAATAGATTGTAATGTTCCTGAACTTGTAGAATAGATTGTAGTGTTCCTGAACTTGTAGAATAGATTGTAGTGTCCCTGAACTTGTAGAATAGATTGTAGTGTTCCTGAACTTGTAGAATAGATTGTAGTGTTCCTGAACTTGTAGAATAGATTGTAGTGTCCCTGAACTTGTAGAATAGATTGTAGTGTTCCTGAACTTGTAGAATAGATTGTAGTGTTTCTGAACTTGTAGAATAGATTGTAGTGTTCCTGAACTTGTAGAATAGATTGTAGTGTTCCTGAACTTGTATAATAGATTGTAGTGTTCCTGAACTTGTATAATAGATTGTAGTGTTCCTGAGCTTGTAGAATAGATTGTAGTGTTCCTGAACTTGTAGAATAGATTGTAGTGTCCCTGAACTTGTAGAATAGATTGTAGTGTTCCTGAACTTGTAGAATAGATTGTAGTGTTCCTGAACTTGTATAATAGATTGTAGTGTTCCTGAACTTGTAGAATAGATTGTAGTGTTCCTGAACTTGTAGAATAGATTGTAGTGTTCCTGGACTTGTATAATAGATTGTAGTGTTCCTGGACTTGTAGAATAGATTGTAGTGTCCCTGAACTTGTAGAATAGATTGTAGTGTTCCTGAACTTGTAGAATAGATTGTAGTGTTCCTGAACTTGTAGAATAGATTGTAGTGTTCCTGAACTTGTAGAATAGATTGTAATGTTCCTGAACTTGTAGAATAGATTGTAGTGTTCCTGGACTTGTAGAATAGATTGTAGTGTCCCTGAACTTGTAGAATAGATTGTAGTGTTCCTGAGCTTGTAGAATAGATTGTAGTGTTCCTGAACTTGTAGAATAGATTGTAGTGTTCCTGAGCTTGTATAATAGATTGTAGTGTTCCTGAACTTGTAGAATAGATTGTAATGTTCCTGAACTTGTAGAATAGATTGTAGTGTTCCTGAACTTGTAGAATAGATTGTAGTGTTCCTGAACTTGTAGAATAGAATGTAGTGTTCCTGTTCTTGTAGAATAGAATGTAGTGACCCCGAACTTGTAGAATAGATTGTAGTGACCCCGAACTTGTAGAATAGATGATTATCGGTTGCGTTGTTGTTTACATTGTTCTCATTTGAGAACGTGACATTACTTTCTTCGCTTTAAATTTCGGTCAATAAGCACCTGGAATGGGACCTCCATGGCCTTCATGTCAACCTCATCTTCGACCCAGAATGTGACCTGGCCCTTGGCGTTGATGGCGTAAGTCTCTTCCAGGATGGACATGAGAGGGGACGGGTTCTCCTCTTTGGAATACAGTTCCTCACTTGGAGCCTTTTGTGGGTTAGGGCGGTACACGCGGTACCCGTGTGGGGCTAAGTTCAAGACAAGATATCATAGTTAAAGTAATGTATAGGGGTCGTTAATAGAGAATCAAATCAAACTCTCCGAAATAACTACTGTACACGTCGAGTTTGTTATATGCAATTTCAACAAAAGCTTGGAGAATTTTTTTCCTGGCAGTCACGTAACGTTTTCTCTCTTGTATTCTATCTTTCGCAGTTTATTCCATGTTAAACAATAGTGAAAAATGAAATTAAAAAATAGCTACCTTTACAATAAACCGATGCGTGTAGTATGTTAATACATTTTTATGTTATTGTGAATACGCCTTACCAAGCTTAGCGTAGGCGGGGGCTTTATGTATACAGTGATGACCAGGTAGAAAGCAGGCGAGCTCTTTGCTCCATCGCTTATCGCGTGAGAAGAAGTTCGTCACATTATGCTCGTCGTTCAACATCGGGTATGGAATCCAGTGTACCATATTACTGCAGTGCATGTGCTTCCTCTCGTAAATCGACCCTAAAACAGAACAGGCGCTTACTATTATTGTCATTTGTAGTGTCCGATATGTATTCACGACCTATGTGGTAAAATTTCGAAACAATAAAGACAGGCCTGAATTCAATAAAAATGAATTTGTATCATAATTTACCAGTTAAAGGACCTCCAGGACCTAGATTTGAGGTATCTAGAGCTATCACTATACCGAGATGTTATAAAGTGGTTGGAGCGAAGAAGACACAATAACCTAGGTCGTTGGAGCGAAGAAGACACAAGGACCTAGGTGGATGGAGCGAAGAAGACACAAGAACCTAGGTGGTTGGAGCGAAGAAGACACAAGGACCTAGGTGGTTGGAGCAAAGAAGACACAAGGACCTAGGTGGTTGGAGCGAAGAAGACACAAGAACCTAGGTGGTTGGAGCGAAGATGACATAAGAACCTAGTGGTTGGAGCGAAGAAGACACAACGAGCCTGTCGCGAAGTGTTCCAGTAGCATATTTTAATGTCCTTTGTTTAGACAGTAACAATGCTACATCGTCGTCACGTCGACAAATAACGATGTCGATTATTTGATAATCAGGAGTTTATGTGTGCCATTTACAGTGTTAAAGTTAAAGGAAGATCACCGACATAATCTCTTCATGTCCATTATGACATTCACCGATCCTCACTTTATCCATAAAGAGGATTTATCTTTTTTCGTCATCAAAGCCTTGAAAGGCGGTTTATCATGGTTTTCCCCTATGATAATTAGATTATCTCCCCCTTAGGCACATTTCCTGTCCCTGAATTTTAACATTAAAATCTGGCAACAATTTAAAGAGTTCATAATGTAACGACATTGTTCCAAACTGATAGAAATGAATTGACGAGATACATACTCTATACGAATTATCTTGTTACTTATCATAAACACGACAAAAATATAACTTACACCGTGTGTGCTTCCACCTAACTATGGCCAATATAGCATTCAACATATTGTCTAATGCTACGACCATAAATAGTGACCTGATCTTAGAGGAAGAGACTCTGCTATGACAATCGCGATACGAAAGCAGAAGATGCTGAAAAAAACTAATTGAAATTTACCTTCCAAACATGTGCCACAGTCGGTGAAGCAACCTTTCACGGCGTCATGCAGTTCCGAGGAGGGTTCGTGATAGATGTGATGGCGGTTGATGTCCGCCCACACCAGTTCCGCCTCGGAGTTCCTGTTGGAAACTGTTGATAGACAGAAGCTGGTGCTGTCATCCGGTGTACAGACATCAGGGGTGGCAGACCGTTTCCGTCTACGATTTATGACTTCCGGTAACTGGTACTGGTATGTTGGTGATTGTTTGAGAGGAATAACGGCGAGGTTGCATGCTTCTTCGGGATCATCTGGGTCGACTATTCGTCCCTCTGTAAATAGATAAAACCACGTATCCCATCAACTGACTACCATTTCTGTTAAGGTAATATAACAAAGAATTTTGAAAGTAATTTTCAATAAAACAATCCAGATCCTCACATTTTGTTTCCCACAATGTATTCAGTTATGTAATCTGATTAGTTGAAAGGTAAAACCTGTCACTGTAATAGTTTCAGAAAGTAAAAAAGGTTGTTTAGACTAAAACTCCCTGCTATTATATCACTTTGTTGTTTCAAGAGCTTACCAATGGCTGCTGTAAGTAGTGTTTCCAGGAAGTTATCGTAATCAATTATGTCCATGCCTGGGTATGGTATTAGAGAGTCGGATTGCACCCAAACCTCAAACAAGTCACGCATATCGACGAACACACTATCCTCGTACAGGCCGAGCCCTATCGCCTCATTTTCGAGGTTGAAAAGCGGTCCACACACCTTGACGATTTCCTCCAACAGAAATGCCGGCGTGTAAGTCGAAGATGTGTTTTCAGCAAACTTTAACTGCATGGCCAAGCCAAGAGTGTGAGTGTTGTAACGGTCGTCTGTCGCCTGACTAAAGAGAGACACCTGCTCCGGGTCGGCTATGTAGCCTCGGATGATCACTAGGTCGATTACTTCCCCTGCGATGTAAAAGAAGCTCATCACATGAAACTTGTAGGCGGTTTGATTGAGAATTCATATAAAAAAATGTATTGTATTTGTCTAAATCTTGAATAGATTTTTTACTAACTTTTAATGAAACAGCGCTTGCTATTTCATCGTCAAAGTTGCAGTCAATTTACACTTGTCAATATTGACTGTCGCCACTTTTGACTTACCGACAGTATTAGCACGGTTCAGCTGGATAAGTAGCTTAGAATAACACTTGGGAATGCTGGGATGTAACCGGAAGTACTGGTAGTTGTCATCTGACGACATAAACTGGGACAGGAAAGTGTTTTCCTCCAATTCTACATGACCCTTAAATACAGAAGATTTTCATTCAACAACCATGTCCCAAGGGACATAGAAAATACATGGTCAGTGTCTTGAAATATAAGCTGTATTTTGGCGAAGGTAAAGAAAGGCAATTTTGTCATTCTGTCCCGAGCTTATATTTGAAGACACTAACTATGTACATGTATTCTATTTATCCTACAACATTGATTGAAAATTAGACCATTGAAACTGTGTTTTACTTACATTGACGTTTTGCCTGATATAGCATCGGATATAGCAGTGATTTTATGAATTTTCGTAGATCAACATGTTCATTTCAACATGTAAAATCGCTTCTTTGAACAACTATTTATATTTCTAAACATAATCTATAGGTAAATTCAGAGAGCAATTCTTTCGAATTACCGCACGTGCTAAAACACAGCTGTTTTCCGTCACTGCCGAATACAGCAAAAATACATGTGGCAGTGCCAGTTGCAGGATAAAAAGCTTCAAACGGAATATAGAAATATGGTAACATAAATAGTATTCCTTACGATTGTAAATAAGAAAGTAACAAAGATTCCATACCCGCCCTTTTCCGTAGAGCAAAGGATAGTTTTCCTTATCCTCATCTGTAAATTCAGCCGGGAACTCGTAGGCGGCAGCCATGGCAGTTGGTGGTTCTACAGCGATGAAGGTTGCCAGCTGGAAAGCGACGGTTTTTGCTGTTGTCCCACTCATCTTCTTTACTGCTATCTCTAGTTTGTCACCTAAAACGGTTAATAAAAGTCATAAGGCCATCAACAACCAGACAAGTAGATAACAAATTAATGTGTAGGTATTTAGAAAACCACACAACGAGGATTAATTACAGACATACCTTGATGTGATATGAAGTCCGCTCCTGCACAAATGGCGAAGTGACTGACTTCTTCCAGGTTGGTGGGCGTATTTGCCGTAACGAGTTGGACGACCACCGCTCGTCCCTCTGTGTGCAGACGACTGTAGGTAACATCACCACTGGTAGCATCAGCGTACGGTTCATCCCAAGCCTTCACGATCTTCAGCGTATCTGTATAGACCGTGTCAATATAAATAGTCGATCTAGTTATAGTGATTCTGTGGAGTACACTACAAATATTCTATTTCTGTGTAACAAAGATACCTGTACGTGTAACATACGTATCAAGAGTTTTAAAAAAGGCAATGTCATAGTCTTGTCGGCGATTACATACATCTAAAAAGAGGTTAAGAAATTTGATTTAATAATAACTCACTTACATATACATTACTCTACATTATCTATAAAGAAAAAGGAAATAGGAACCGTTCAGAGGAGAGAGAGAGAGAGAGAGAGAAAGAGGGGGGGGGGGAGGGGGGAGCAATCCACATTATTTTTCTGTTGTTAATAACAGCAGACTTTCATTCTCACCTGTAGACGTCAAGTTATATCGAACAAACTTCTGTAGAGTGTTGATGATCTTGTGCATCCGGTAACTCATTGTCCTGGCTGCACACCTGTAACAATTACGGTGGTCATAAGAATAACCATTCATCTGTTTAACAGTACCTGGCGTTGATTTATTGCCATTACTATATTTAAAAGTTCGTTCAGATATTTAACTTTTCGACTTTATTTACCGGCTCCTATCAGTGTAAGTAGTGGTGTGGAACAGTCCATAGACAAATTCCTGAAGACATAGTATTAATAAGAGTATATACCTATGGCCAGTCCCTTTACGATACATACCGCTGAGAAAGAGCATTTCCCACAATGGCTGCCCGACAGTCAACACAAGGCTGGCCCACAAACCCGCACCAAGCCGACGTTCTCTCGTGATTGACGAACTCAACGTTTGTTCCCATGTACTGTGATAACCTACCAAATATAAATGTACAAGTTCTTACGGACATGCAATCTCTCCATGTTCGCCGATCCGTCACTTATGGCACTAAAAGAAATTAGACAGCAACCTTGGTTTCTTTGAAGTCGTTGAAGTCTAGAGCTGCTGGCGCGTTGCTACTAGAATGATGTCATTGCTCTTTATTAAAACTAAAAATCTTTTTTAAAATATATAGTCATACCTGAGCTTAGGGTAAAACTAACGTACCTGTTGAAATCTGCAGTGTTCTCTCTGAGGATGGGGACGTCAGGATCGCCTACTACGCTCCCGGCGTCCGTGGCCCAAGAGGGAAACATCTCACCATTAGGTACACTGGAGAAGGAGCTGCAATCCTTTGGAACAACTTCCGGTTCTGGTGTAGGACAGACGTGAAAACAATCGTTAAAGGATTAGTTGTGAGTGATATTCACTGGTGTATCTATGGGGACATTGTATTTATCTTACAAAAGCTAACATTAAGATCTATACTACATATATGTACTGTAGGCCGATAATGTTTTCCCGCCCAGGACAAATCGAGACTGGACCCACCGAACATCGTATGTGTGGAGGGAAGCGCTATAACACATACTACACAAGTAAACATATGACGTTCCTATATTGCTGTAACATTTCCCCTCTTTCCGTGATTTACCATGTGTTATGGTAACCCCTACATCGCCGTGCCGCTTGCCTCCTCAACTTTCAGTGTGACGAATAGGTATTACAGAGGTTTTACTGTCTGATGTCCCTACAATGCCGTACCGATTGCCTCCCCTAGTTTTGTCACGAACAGGTGATACTACAAAATGTGAGCTTTATTTTCCGATATTCCTACGCTGCCGTACCGATTGCCTCCCCTAGTTTTGTCACGAACAGGTGATACTACAAAATGTGAGCTTTATTTTCCGATATTCCTACGCTACTGTACCGATTGCCTCCCCTAGTTTTGTCACGAACAGGTGATACCACAAAATGTGAGTTTTATTTTCTGATATTACTACGCTACTGTACCGATTGCCTCCCCTAGTTTTGTCATGGCGTAAGTATGGAAGGTGGCGCTTGTCATGCCGCCAGTGTACCCATCCACCGAGAACTGCGGGGTTGTATCAAGGCTTCCTGTCATAAAAATGTGGACAGAGTCCATCATCAGCACCACACCGACGTCGCGTTGAATCACCTTCAATAGAAACAGAGTCCTGTTAAATTTCCACAACCCTGTAAAGACTTCTCGAGTGTCCCGATACTGACACATGCTAATCAGAGCATAATTTTTTTATCACTAATTTAACATTTAATGGCTCTGCATTTTATACTTAAGACAGAATCCTCCCTCCTCCCCTCAATTCGTACAAATTTAGATCTTTTGGACCTCTGATAAGCTGCACCAAATAAGTGAACTAAACATATACAAGAAGACAACTTCTGTCTGTTCGAGTTTTTATGCCTGAGGGTTTGTAATATCACTTGTACATTTAATAGTTATTACATTCAGCATTAGAACACCCGAGAGGTGCGCAATCTGCCAAACGCAAGTCGGTATACATAGACATTTACCGAGAACAGAAAGGAACATGTTTTGATGGCATTATTGGCAATTTCACGGATATCTCCTAAAACCCCTGGTCGAAACTTTAGCGTGGCACCGGTGCCACTTCTGGCGTAAAGGTCCTGTATCTTGGTACTTCCTAGTACATCCGAATTCGTCTTAAACGCTGATACAATGTTCGCCTGAAACATTAGATGAATCGGACATGTTCATGAATATTCAGTGCCAAGCCTAAGGACATACAGATCTAAACAAAGAAGCAAAACACACATCAATTGAATTAACCAATCGCGTATTTGTAGCGCCGATATATAAGCAAGATAAACCTGACCTAGAACTACCTACTCTTAAGTCTTGTTTCCTAAGACTGGTCAACGTCGCCTGTAGACATGTGATAAACGTTGGATGCGCACGGAAGTAGAGGGCGCTATCGGACCGGAAGTGTTGAACCAGAACATTTAGGGAGAGTGGCTTTTGATCTATATCAGAGTCTGATAAGAACAAGTAGGAACCTGAGGAGAAATGAAAAAATAAACAATATTACAAAGTTATATCTCGCACCAATATATACAATCCTTATACCACACAGGGTGGTCGGATAGTGTAGTGATGACCCACTCTCCTTTCACCTAAGCGTCCAGGGTTTGATTTCCGGAACGGATGTGAAAAGACCTGGGGCCATCTTCCCGACCGCATGGGTTTCCTCCAGGTACTCCGGTTTCCTTCCACAGTATGACCCTCTCACGCTTCTATCCTAGCCAACAAGAGTGAGCTGATATATGTTGGAAAAACTTGTTTCGCAGTTGTTGTAAAATGAATCAACTTTAATTTTAATAACCTGTATCTTTCCATGAGACAATGACCAACCAAGTTAAATCCATCACATCAATAACTATACATTGAGTTTTCGTCGAGAAGATTTACTTACCTGTGTCTTTGGGGTCTATATAATTGCTCGCATCGGTCACTGTTGTGGGGTCTATAGCGGTGAAACCCTCCCCAGATTCAAACTCGATTGCTGAAACAGAGAACGATAAAACAGAATATAGGTGGGTGCCGTTCTATCGTCACAATAGGTCACTGAAACAATAGGTTATCAAGCATAATCATCCAACCGAGTCTTTCTCTGATTACGTCATCGGTTTTACTAATTCAATCACTTTCGTTTTTGTTGAATAAAGCATCTGCCTGTCAGTTTAGTCTTGGCTGGATGATTTGACAATCGATCTACTGCTGACAAGACGTAATTTTGGTGGTGATTTAAAGATTGGTTGTGACAAGATAATGGGAAAATATGCTTAGATGTGACTAGATGATGAGACAAAATCAAAACACCTGGTTGTGACTAAATGATAGGACAACATACTTTGTTCTGACAAGATGATGGGATAATATGGTTGGATGTGACTAGATTCTGGGACAACATACTTTGTTGTGACTAGATGATGGGACAATATGCTTGGTTGTGACTAGATGATGGGACAATATGCTTGATTGTGACAAGATGATGGGACAATATGCTTGGTTGTGACAGGATTCTGGGACAATATGCTTGGTCGTGACAAGATGATGGGACAACATACTTTGTTGTGACTAGATGATGGGACAATATGCTTGATTGTGACTAGATGATGGGACAATATGCTTGGTTGTGACAAGATGATGGGACAATATACTTTGTTGTGACTAGATGATGGGACAATATGCTTGGTTGTGACTAGATGATGGGACAATATGCTTGGTTGTGACAAGATGATGGGACAATATGCTTGGTTGTGACAAGATGATGTGACAATATGCTTGGTTGTGACAAGATGATGTGACAATATGCTTGGTTGTGACTAGATGATGTGACAATATGCTTGGTTGTGACAAGATGATGAGACAAAATCAAAACACGTTGTTGTGGCTAAATGATAGGACAGTATGCTTGGTTTTTGCTAGATGGTTTAACTCTAAATAGATTGCATGTAATTATATATATATATCATATGTTTGAGACAAGTCAAGAAGTGATTTGCGCAATTCGAAACCTTTAACAGTGATTAGGTGAATATGTATATAGGTTCAGGGTAGGTAATACTAGTTGCCTTGGATATAAAATACACTGTTATTCCGAGTAAGATCAGAAGGGTATCGCGTCACAGCCTACATGTTAGAAGTTATAAGCAATGGAAGGGTGACAGAACCAATCTCATTACAACAACACACTACAATACAAAGCGAATACGTCGATTTAAATGAGAGAGTTTACCGTTGGTTGACCGAGAAATGTAGGCCTCAGAATTTAATCAATCAATGCATAATTTATTCACTATCCCGGATGTAGGCGATGAAGCGTAACGTCCCTTTTTATTTATACATCCAGAACGGACGTCCTAGCATGTTAAATTACGTTCTACGTGTGCAGATAGATGTGGTTTAGGCTTGAATGGGATACCCGCTAAGTAATTTACGTGGTATCTCATAACATTGCCGGACAGGTGTCCTTACCGCGGGAGTTATTGGGTTCCGGTTGATTTACCACAAACAACAATTAGATATGATATTCCAATAACAATCAATAATCAAGAGCTTTATTAAATACAAATTCGTTATTGATGATACCATATCAAGAAAAACTACAATATATAATCGCCTAACTGATGGCAGTATGCAGAGTAAAGTTATTGCCTAACTGATGACAGTATGCCGAGTAAAGTTATTGCCTAACTGATGACAGTATGCAAAGTAAAGTTATTGCCTAACAGATGACAGTATGCCGAGTAAAGTTATTGCCTAACTGATGACAGTATGCCGAGTAAAGTTATTGCCTAACTGATGAAAGTATGCCGAGTAAAGTTATTGCCTAACTGATGACAGTATGCCGAGTAAAGTTATTGCCTAACTGATGAAAGTATGCCGAGAAAAGTTATTGCCTAACTGATGACAGTATGCCGAGTAAAGTTATTGCCTAACTGATGACAGTATGCCGAGTAAAGTCATTGCCTAACTGTTGACAGTATGCCGAGTAAAGTCATTGCCTAACTGATGACAGTATGCCGAGTAAAGTCATTGCCTAACTGTTGACAGTATGATGAGTGAGAATTGCATCTTGCCAATTAAAAATTATTGTCGACTTAAAACTGCAGTGAGAATTCAGATGAACCTGTTATTTTTGTTACCATCAATTCAGATTACAAAAGACAAGTATTTATAATTTAATCTCAGCATTATTGTTCATATCAGGGAATTCGTATCGTCAAAACAAAAAAAAATACATGATATTCTTTTCAAGTATTTTTTAAAGTGAAATCATGATTGAGTAGAACCAGGAAGTATTTTGGTAACAGTTCACAAAGAATCCTTTGTTGACAAGTCATATAGATATTTATCGTCTATGTAATCCACTGTGGTTGTAAAGCAATCACATATGTTTAAAAACTAAACTGGTGTTTGTAAACAAATATTGAAATATCAGTAACAGATTTTGAAAACATTTCCATATATTTCACAACCAATAGTAATTTGCCTGGTGAAGATGACATTGTATGATCGAAACATCACAAATATTCTTTCCTTTTTCAAGATACAATGTAACCCAAACATGTGTCTACTTTCATACAGTACACACATCTAAATCTCACAAATATGTGTCTAAGGCAGTACACGCATCTAAATCTCACAAACATGTGTTTACTTTCTTGAAGTACACCATACAGAACACACATGTAACTCTCATGAACATGTGTCTACTTTCACATAAAACAAATATTGAAATCCAACAAATATATGTTGACTTACACACAGTAAACACATCGAGTTATCTTTGATAAACACACTAGGGAATATACATATTTCTTGTGTTTTGAATTTCACAGAACAAAGATTATCTTGGATCAATGGTAACGACATTCCAATTTAAGTACTATATTCCCAATACAGTGCTTGCATTCCTTGTAGATTATTTATATTTCTCAAGTCATACTTTAAATATAATTGATCACATACATGGACACCTTAAATGGTTATAAAGATACACACATATTCCCGTGATAGCTAAACACGGATAATGACGTCACAGATCAGAACATACAAAGACACCTTATATAGTTATAAAGACACACACATATTCCCTTAATAACTATACACAGAAAATGACGTTACAGAACATACATAGACACCTTACATGGTTATAAACACACACACATATTCCCGTTATAACTAAACACGGAGAATGATGTTACAGAACATACTTAGACACCTTACATGGTTATAAAGACACACACATATTCCCGAGATAACTAAACATGGAGAATGATGTTACAGAACATACTTAGACACCTTACATGGTTATAAAGACACACACATATTCCCGTTATAACTAAACACGGAGAATGACGTTACAGAACATACATAGACACCTTACATGGTTATAAAGACACACACATATTCCCGTTATAACTAAACACGGAGAATGACGTTACAGAACATAAATAGACACCTTACATGGTTATAAAGACACACACACATATTCCCGAGATAACTAAACACGGAGAATGACGTTACAGAACATACTTAGACACCTTACATGGTTATAAAGACACACACATATTCCCGCTATAACTAACACGGAGAATGACGTTACAGAACATAAATAGACACCTTACATGGTTATAAAGACACACACACATATTCCCGTTATAACTAAACACGGAGAATGACGTTACAGAACATACTTAGACACCTTACATGGTTATAAACACACACACATATTCCCGTTATAACTAAACACGGAGAATGACGTTACAGAACATACATAGACACCTTACATGGTTATAAACACACACACATATTCCCGTTATAACTAAACACGGAGAATGACGTTACAGAACATAAATAGACACCTTACATGGTTATAAAGACACACACACATATTCCCGAGATAACTAAACACGGAGAATGACGTTACAGAACATACTTAGACACCTTACATGGTTATAAAGACACACACATATTCCCGCTATAACTAACACGGAGAATGACGTTACAGAACATAAATAGACACCTTACATGGTTATAAAGACACACACACATATTCCCGTTATAACTAAACACGGAGAATGACGTTACAGAACATACTTAGACACCTTACATGGTTATAAAGACACACACATATTCCCGTTATAATCACAAGGTTAGTGATACATTAATATAAGATTGATCGCTTTTAGTTATATGTGTAAAATCAAATTTTTAACATGAACACATAAATAGATCACACTACTGTTGGAGGTATGACAATACAACGGTATAGACAAGTGTCTAGCATGTGTACTTAAATCAAAATAAAGTCAAATTAAAGGTTTGTTATTGTATAGACCTGTGTTTTCAGTACTATACACAGACATAAAGGTATGATAATTATCTCTGTCTTTTGACATGCCGTTATTGTTTAAATCCTTTCAATAATTAGCATGGGTCTTATAAACGACTTACTTTGACAGTGTATCCCACGGTTAAAAAGTCCTAACGTCATCATCAACAACAGCACCATGTTGATGTCCATCTTTGGGGGACTATTCTAGTCTATAACAAACCACCACATTACTGTGTCAGCGTAACATCCTGGTTGGCGTCACGCACGACCTGTTGTCAATAACATTCAAGTATACGCCAATTGACGTGTTGAGACCTGGTATACATACAGGTAGATATACAACTGCCTGTCAATATGTAGATTGTTAAAAGGTATAATTTCGGGGACAAAGATTTACTACTCGACAATCGAACGCAATTGAACGGTTTTAAACGGTTATCAGAAAAGGTTGGTTTTACAAGGGAAAACCACGATATTGTTCATACAAACCTTGAATTATCGTTATATTGATAAAGAACAATACCTAGGATGTTATAGAATGAGGTAACGGTTCACTGTTTGATCAGACCATGTCTTTATTATGACCCAAGATTAATATGTTTACCGATAACATTTTTAATCATATGTGATAGGTCTGTGATTTTTTTCAGCACCGTTACTTTTATAAACATGAATATACGTAGCCATCTTGAGTACAACCGATCGCTTTACTCGCCTCGGCTCGTGGGGATGGCTTTTTTTGTCAAACAGTGGAGTGTGAACGGCTCTTAGTTGGAACCAAAGCTGGGGCAGAGTGATTTTCATCATTCCTTCCCATTACATTCACACAATATTTATCAATTTAAAGAAAAACCTTTTACATGGCATTATACGCCGTTTGATACGCTAGCAAAGGAGAGTTTTTAATCATTGAAGTATTGCCTGAGTTTAAAGCAAAGGATTCGATATTTTAAAAAAAACTTCTAATCTTCAGTTATTGGAAACAACTACAAACACATTTTCCTTCGTGAGCATCCACGTGTAACTTCCATACACATTTATCAATGTAAAAGGTAGTGAGTTCACTTCAGACAAGTGTTAAACCCCTTAATTCGAAATCTCAAAACTAACGTTCTACGTTGTCGAAGGTACATTTCTTGGTTAATAACAAAAGAAATCCCAACATGAACATGTAATACTATTTGTAATCTACAAATCAGATAACGCCGATAGACATGGTATCAGGCTTCAGAGACAGTACCACTACAGTCAAACCTAGGTATAAAGGGCCTGTATCTCTTGTTATCTGAACTAGTCCGGAAGTTGATTTTTTCCGCTACCATGAAATTGTAGTGGCCTCCTGCAATTTTCTCTAAAAACTGAAAGAGTGAAAAATGAGTTGTAAGTCACTGATTAACTTACATAATTCACAAAAAAGTGTCCCCATTTTAGACGGCCATAGACGCGTATAAAATACCAAAGCACCTATTACTGTATGCTGAAATAATAAACCTTGTTGTGTGCTGGGTTTATCCGCTCGTGAACAGCCAGGGTTATTTTGAGGCGCTGACCAACATACACATTGTAGTAGCTTTTTTGCTACCTTACTGAACAACATTCGGGAGGCACTTCGCATAAAATTCATAGAAAAAGAAATTAGAATAAAGTGTTTTGTTAGGTTCACAACCACGTAGCCACAGATCAGTCGCTGTAGCCGAAGTGAATACCACTTGTTTGAGGCAACGACAGAAATATCTGTACGTGTTGGATAAGATGACTAACCTCGCTGAGTCAATAGAATATATGCTGAACAGAATAAAATCTCACCAGCAAAGGCAAGTTAGGAAATCATGCTGGTTCGATTAGTTATTATATCAAACCTTTGTCCAAGCTCCCTTTGTCAGTCACTTCACGACTTCTTGCACGATAATCGTGATATTGGACACTAGCCCTTGAACATCGGATTAACTGTGACATGTAAATACCATAGGTTAAAGATGCAGAAATGGAAAATTCACAATAGGGAAATGGTAATCATCACGTTTATCATAAAGCTTGATGGAAAGCTGCCCATGCTGGTTTCGTTGTGGATGGTGGATATGCACGATGGACGTAGTCAATGAATTTCTTGTTATTTAAGACAAAGAAAGAAAGCTGAACGGCGTTAACATTGGTGCATGGTCGTGACTAGTACTGGAGTTTGATACAAATAGCTTTGTTACCAAGAAATTCAATACAACACTTTAAATACTTTTATGGTCATATTCATCGGATTTTTCAACCAAAACTTGAAGTTCCGGACAGGAAATACTCTTCTACATCATAAGTTGAATGGGTTTTTAGGAAGTGGTGTTACCGTGTTCAATGCTCCCGTTGACACCACAGGTTTTGAGAACGTAGTGTTGTTCTGTTTGATGTTCGCGTTGACACGCCTGGTTTTGAGAACGTAGTGTTGTTCTGTTTGATGTTCGCGTTGGCACGCCTGGTTTTGAGGACGCGGTGTTACCGCGTTTGATGCCCGCGTTGGCACGCCTGGTTTTGAGAACGTGGTGTTGTTCTGTTTGATGTTCGCGTTGGCACGCCTGGTTTTGAGGACGCGGTGTTACCGTGTTTGATGCCCGCGATGGCACGCCTGGTTTTGAGAACGTGGTGTTGTTCTGTTTGATGTTCGCGTTGGCACGCCTGGTTTTAAGGACGCGGTGTTACCGTGTTTGCTGCCAACGTTGGCACGCCAGGTACTGAAAACGTGTTTATATGTTCGCGTTGGGACGCCTGGTATTGAGGACGCGGTGTTACCGTGTTCGATGCCTGCGTTGAGTACGCCTGTCGATAGAACGTGGTGTTACTATGTTCGATGCCTGCTTTGGCACGCCTGGTATTGAGGACGCGGCGTTGTGTTTATATGTTCGCGTTGGCACGCCTGGTTTTGAGAACGCGGTGTTGTGTTTTATGCCCGCGTTGGCACGTCAGGTTTTGAGAACGTGGTGTTCTTGTGTTTGATGTCCGCATTGGCACGCCTGGTTTTGAGAACGTGGTGATGTTGTGTTTATATGTTCGCGCTGGCACACCTAGTTTCGGGGACGTCGTGTTCCGTCAGTTCTATCTAGAAACTGAAAACACCTATCATTTCGGAATACCTGGTCGTTTTCTTCTTTGTACAGTTTTCAATAGTCCCAGTGTTTTTCTTTCGTTCATGTTTTAATCCCATTTCACCACTTTTGAATTCGAATCATGAATTGGTTAAGACGGTGTTTTTTTTAACAAAACGATCGGCTGAACGTTGCTTAACAAGTGTTACAGGTATGGTGACAATTCTTTATTTTGAATCAAACAGGTAAAAAAGTTGTACCTCTCCAGTACCATGAGAAGAAGAGTGTATTATTAATATCAACTGTGGTTACCAATGGTGTAAATTAAGGAATTTAAAATTTCTCCATCAACCAGGTGCTAGCCTGAAAATTGGAAATGACAACTTCCAAGCACCTTAGGTCCTTTACTAGCCCCCAAAGTAGTTGCACATGTACACATTAATGTACTTCCATGTACAGTATGCTGTGATGCTCTGGTAAATGTTTTATGGTGTATGAGACTCAAATTCCCTCAATTAAATTTTAACCTGCAATCTTCAGTGATGTAGGCCTTACAAAACATTTCCCTGGCAGTGTTCAGCTAGGTCACTCTGATCAACTGGTTACAGAGATAATCTGATGACTAAATTTGATGGAAACAGAACTGTGGTATCTAAGATATCTTTCAATACCAATTTAGAATTAGAGTTGAGTGATAATGATTTAATAAACATCATGCAGCTGTTTTGTCCTGCTAGTCAGTGAAGTCTGTGGACTACAGTATTGAAAAGCTGGGATGTGAAGGGGGAAAAAAAGAGAATTTTACAAAATAGAGATAAGAAATAAGTAATATTTTACATCAAAAATTTATTTATACCATATAAGAATAATATGGAAAACCAACCACTTTATATAAATTCATAAACAAAACATCTTAAAACCAATATATGAAAATTACAGAAATCACACTTCACATCTGGATTAGGTGATGAGGGTTTGATATGAAAACGGAAAACAACATGTAATAGAAAAAGTTAGATAAACACTGAAATCTCACCTTTGTTTTATATCTGGTGTGTTTTTAACCTATCAAAAGACAGGCATGTGTATAGCATTGAATTCATGTAACACATCAGAAATGGACTCCAAGTGAACTGAATTAACTTTTGAACCTTCTGTCATGATTTCTGTTGAGAACAAAAAAAAAAAAAAAAAAAATACTATATTTCCAGAATTTCCCTTCATCCTCTTATTTGAATTAAAATCACATAATTTTAATTGAAACCAAGTATGTCCGCAGTATTTTAATTTAAAGCACTCATTCATTGAATTTAATATATAGGTAGGCCTATATCAGGCACATGTTCCACACAAAAGCCTGGTTATGCTAAATTACCAACTAGAGGAAAATATTCACTCCAACAACAGTATAATCATATGTATTAGTATGAAAGATTTCACATTAGCTACATGCAAAAATCATTGGTTATCATAAATAAACATTTATCATAAAGCCTGGTTCCCACCTATACACTGTCGGATTCATATACACACCACACTGAATACTGATACAACAGAAATACAATGGTTAGGAAGAACAAGTCATCATTGACTGGAAGTCTTTTGAAGGCTTCCCGAGCATTTTGTATGAAAAAAACAAAAATGTTACACAGAAGAGTCTCACCAAACAGCACTGTTACTATACATTATACGATACCTGTGAGTTTACACTTGTCCTACAAACACAGTCGGTTATTAGCAATTTGTATCAGTCACCATATATCATAAAAAGCAAGACAGCAACTCTACCAAACCATTGTGGTATGATTTGTGACATTGTGGGAAACACATTGAGTCATGAGCAAAGTCTCGTGGGTTTCCAACAATGGATGTGTGAAAACAGACAGAAACTGTTGGCAGACCTTGGATATGTGAAAACAGACAGAAACTGTTGGCAAACCTTGGATGTGTGAAAACAGACAGAAACTGTTGGCAGACCTTGTAGGTAATTTTCTTGTGTGGTGGTAGTTTGTGAAAACTGTCTAAAACTTTTCTGTGGATCTTACAGATAGAATTGTAATATCCTAGTGTAGCATGCTATTTCCTGCAGACTAATTGCATATCAAGAACTTTACCTCTCATGACAACCTAGTTTTTGTTTTCTTATGAGGCTGAATTTATCAAAGAGCTTATCAAAACAGGTCACAAAGATCTTGCAAAGTCCTTCAATGCAATGTTCAGATACTGATAACTTGTTTTTTGATAACAATATATTTATTGACCATGTCCATCATATATACCCACCAGAATTTGAAATCAACAGTACACAAGACTCTTCTATATCATTCACTTACCACAATCTTGTCCTACAGCCAAACCAACTGAGAGAGCTTTCCACCAAGCTCTGTGATAAACATCATTTCAATTTCCCAAACCTGAATTTTCCATTTCTGGTTAACAACATCTCTACATCCCCTGCTTATGGTATTTGATTTGATATTCAAGGGCTTGTTCCAAATATCACCATTTTCATACAATATGCCTGCAACTGACAGACACTCGAGATGCAGGTTGACGAAGATTATGGTAAAGTTTCACAGTTGTCATAATGATCTCAAATTGTGTATATGTTTGATTTGATGTTTAATGTGTTTGTTCTAGTGAGTGTGTCTGGTGCTACGATTCTTGTTAACTTTGTGCTCATTAGTGAACGTGACATTACATATGTGGATTGACCAAGACTTCCATAGTAATGTTATATGAAGCAGATTTTGGTTACCTTTCCACAACAACCTAGTTTCATTGAATTTGAGTTTGGATTAAGACTGTTGATATGTAGTTTCTCTGTTAAAACAGCAAGAAACTTCAGCAAATCTTACAGATAATTTCTCTGTGTAGCTTGAATTAACATAAACATATTAATTTACTTGTGTGGCATAGGATTTGTAAAGATGACAATATATCAATGTGCAAGAGACAATGTGGGTTAGATTTTGTACTCCAACTGATTTGTACTATATGACAAAACACTGGATAAGCAATGAAAAATATAAAACCTTTCAAATATCCCACAGAAATAAATAAAAAAAAGCATTTCTATAAAATTTAATGTATTTACATGTACACCAAACATTATTCCAGAATGGAACGCCACCAAATATCGCAAGTTACCACATTAAAAACTGACAAAAAAAATTAAAATGGTATACACAGTCGTTTTGTTGACTGACAAAGACGCTTTCTAGAATTTAAAAAGACTAATCATTTAACATAAGCAACAAAGAGACTGACTGACCAAGACGCTTTCTAGAATTAAAAAAGACTAATAATTTCACATCAGCAACAAAGAGACCAAAGAGATTCTTTCAAATAGTCATAGAATGAAGAGAATGAAGAGTGAATCAATATGCTTTCATTTATAATGTAATACAATGTATCTAGTGAACTCTCTGTCAAATTCTGCTAAACTTGGAATGAATCTGTAGGTGAAAGTATTCTGCCGAATCAAGTATATAAATACAGAGTGAATATTTCACTAGTACTTAGTAGGCACGTTTTGTCCCATTTACACTATTTCATACAATGAATGATTCTCTATATACAGAGTTATAACAACTCATCCTGAAGTTATTTCTTTTCACACTGGTGATTGTAATTTGTAATCAAACCAACAAGAGGTAGCTACATAGTTAACAGTACAGGGGTAATTGTGAGTATTTATGAAAATATATATGGAAAATCTGGATTAGATTCAATAAGATATACAAAACTGAACAAAGTTTTGTTTTTGATTTCCTGTACTTAACAAATCTACACTATTGGAAACCTATGTGTAAAATAAATTGAGAAATATGAAAACTTGAAAGCAGGAAAACTTGCGGTAAGAAATAACTGTGTTTTTTTATAAATCATTAAAGTGACAAAGGTAGAGTACAATACACAAACACAGTCAACATCACATGAAGTCAATATATATCATTTTCAAACATATTATTTACTGGCACATAAAGAGATCTCTTATCCCATCAAACAGATATAAAAGAAATGGAACAATGTATATCCATGGTAACAAACCAGTAGTATCATCACACACATAGAAAATTCAATTTAGGCCAAATGTTTATGGCTGCGAGTACAGGTAAAACAACACTGTGTCAACTGTTTAATGTGGTATTTTAACAGGATCATCTCAATCAACTCACATATCATATCATCCAAATTAGACATCTTCAAAAATCAAACTGGAAGTAAAATAGTGAAAAACATGTAACTAGTGAGTAAATGTAATCGAAGTTAGAAAATTTAAATAGCGACTTAAAGAAACTTGTAACATTTTATGAAGTCCTGGAATTAAATGTAAACAAAAACCGATGTCCCCTGGCTAGCCCACTAAATCACTACAAACAAAACCTCACAGTACTTCCTCATTTACCACCTGGAAAACATGTTTTATTTCAAACTTTTCAGGTTCAGTAAGAGGTAGCTGAGTGTTCGGTTCATATTCACCAGACATCATATTTGTTTTCATCAAACATTTACACAAGTTGACTGTTAAATTTGTTGGAATTCATATGGTGACTGGTTTAGGAACCAAATGATTCCGTTAAAAAATTCTTGCGAGTATTCTGATTTCATAGCAAACAAATCATAAAAATATTAACTATAGACAGTAAAGCCCCATCATCTCAGGGGGATATTTCGTAAGTTTTTCTAGTAATGCACTGTGTGTTTGAATTTTCCTGGAGCTGAACTTATTTCAATAAATAGCTATGACCCAGTTGTCAAGTTTTCCTGGTTCATAATTTGCACTTTTGAATTTCCTTTTCCTAAATCCTACTTTGAAAGCATTCAAAATAATACCTGAGTTTAATCAAGTGTATCACAGAGAATAAAAAATAAATAAAAAAGGCTATTATTTGAGTGTTTCCCTGAATACTTGATGACAGCAGATTGTCAATATGTCTTTTTTCCCGAAGTTTAGCTCATCGTTTCTTTTTTCCTATCTTTAACCCTTTCCCAAACCAGCCTGGTACAGAAAGACTTCGACACAGATTAGGTTTCTTTGTGGTTGAATCTGTTACATCTGTGTTAGCTACAACATGATCATGGGAAGTATTAGAGCGCTTGTGACGAGTGTTTGGAACTGTATCCTGTGAAGTCAGTAGTAACATATCCTTCCCTACCACTGCCGCAGGAGACTGTTCACCTAACTCTGTCGAACTTGTCTCTGTAGACTGACAGGAGGAGGTACTTGCATTGTTTTGTCCACATTCTTTTTGGGAGTGGAGCTCCCTTTTCACAGGACTTGTCGATGTAGTACCAGACAATCGTTCACTTTTGGGGGAGAGTTTTTGCATCTGATCCTTCTTGAGGTAGCAGTGATCTTTGAGCACATAGTCAATCTTGTTACTGGGCTGAAAGACTTGAGGAATAAATGGAGTGGGCCATAAATTAGTATGGAGTGGGGGTAATTGTATCAATCTGGGATCACCCAGCATCTGTAGGCCCAGATATGACATGTAGTGTATTGGTATACCCTGAGGCTGAAGTGTTGGCACTGTGGAACAACTACATAATGATCCAACTGTACGTAAGGCAGCACACTTTGAACACTGACCTATCCATTCACTTTGTGGAATACTGCCATCACTTAATGATGTTCCATCTTCGTCTAATTTCCAAGTTCTATCCTGTGTACCTGACCTGGACAAATCTAGTGGAAAAGACATTGTTTCTTGTGATGGAGAAGACACTGTACATGGAAGACTATTGGATGATATTGTTTGCATTGGTACGTGAAGTCTGGATTTTATATCACTAAATTTTTCTTCTCTTGTATCCTCGTTCTTGCAGATTCCATTGGAAGAGGATGTAACACCATAAGGGCTTGTCTTTGTTTCCTCTCCAGAAACTGATACTGATATGCTATCTGTCTTCAATTTCTTCATTGAACACTGTTTCCTCTTGCTTGCAATTCTTCGTTTCCTGGCATAATTAGCAGGGACTTCCAGAATCTTTTTGTTAACATTCTTCAGTTCGTGGTTTTTCAAAGGTGTTGCCTGTCTAAAGATTGGATCTGTATTCCTAAAAGAAACCAGTAGATATGATGTGATTATATATCTTTTATAATTAAACTCAAAATGTCTGTAATATATGAATGCTCCCCTCCCATGCCAAACAGTATCACTGGTTGATGAATTCGTAAAAGTTCTCAAATGTGACCTTTGAACCTTAAAACTTGATCTATGACCACTTTAATATGATCACATATAGAACCTGATGTTATGATTCTGTGATCCTCTGGGGGCAAATATGAATCAAAGCTGTTGTTAAGAGGTTTTCAAAATGTAACACTGATTTGGAAAAGGACATGACAGGATGGGGCAGAATGAACAGATATGGGTTACACTATATCCACGAAATGGTAGGAGTATAATGATAAATTACAAAAAAAAAAAAAAATCATCATTTTTTTAACCTATTTGTTACGTCCCAACTTTATAAACAGAACAATATTAATTCCATTCACATGTAAGTATTAGAACCATGTGTATTAGAATATTAAAATACTCCTCTGTCCTCCGGGTTTTTATCAGATTAATTACAAGTCTCATGAGGACAACAAAACTTGCTGATACAACTGACAGGAGTTATCTACTATACCAACGATCACCTTGACCACGATTGTTAGTATGTAACTATTGCTCTTACTTTGCTTTATGTCTGAAATGTTATATTCATCCCTGGTAATTATTTTAATAACCCTACCCATATACTATCAGTATTGTTTTAGTTAATCATGTATAATGATTCTGACAGGTCCAAAGAAATAACTTCATTATACTTGTCATAATGTTACAATGGAATATTGTTCAAAACAGTTATAAGAAATCCAAGGGATCTGCAGATTTCTCCTTAAATTTGCAAAATATTACAACAAATTATTCCTTAAACTGACAAAAACTTCATACCAATAAAAATATTGAATTGACCACCAGAGGCCTGTAAAATTAGTTTATTTGCTACAAACACTACAAAGTAGTATGAGTAGTAGGAATGGGAACCAAACCTATCTTCCTTCCTTCTAGTTATCATAAATCCAGTTTAATATCTCAACAGGAACCTTTATCATATCAAGGTGACATTAAAAATAAATTATAAACATACCTGGAGAATGAAGGTATAGTGTAGCCTAACCTTTATCATATCAAGGTGTCATTAAAGGTTGAATTATAAACATACCTGGAGTATGAAGGTATAGTGTAGCCGAACCTTTATCATATCAAGGTGTCATTAAAGGTTAAATTATAAACATACCTGGAGTATGAAGGTATAGTGTAGCCGAACCGATCCATCACTCGCTTCATCACATCATCACAACAACCTGAAAGTTACAGGGATCAATTTAACTAATATGTTTAGCTTGGTGTCACAGTTTAAGGTACAAAAGTTGTCAACAATGATATTTATAAAGAAGGAGACTATACTACTCACAGTGCATTTCTGGCAAAACCTTCACGGTTAAAAAAGAGGCCCATAGGGCCGGTACGGTGCATCTGGAATTTCTGACACAACTTTCCCAATAACAGCAGTTTCGTAGATGTGAAATATTTTCAGGAGGACAACTTCCTTTGTTTGTATGATTAATGGTATAAACACTTTGGGTGATAAATCATTCTAGTCTTTAGAAGTAAAAGAAACAACAGCTTAGAGGAATTAAAACAATTACCATTGATTTTCAATGTGGCAGAATCATCTTTTGGTGTCCACTGGAGATTGACAATGTAGAGTTTGGGCCGACGATTTGGTCTTCGATCCATACACCACAGGCATGCATACATCTTTAAAATCTGAAAGAATGATATTAAAAGATACAAATGGCCAAATAAGTAAGTACTTGGCTTAAGACAAATGTACTAGTGTTGCTTTCACAAACGAACGTTGTAACTGCTGGAAAACTAACTTGACGAACAGTAGCTTGAGGCTAATCTTTTGAGTTTACCTTCAGACTGGTTCCTAGACACAGAATTAGGTCACAGTTGTCAGCTGCCTTGCCTGCTTCTTTCCATCTGTATGGTGTCTTCACTCCACCTTTCTCTCCAAAATGTACAATGGTGTCTCTCAGAGGTTTCTTACAATTGTGACAGTTACGGTCAGTACTGTGTCGACGCACGCCTGTTTTCTCGGTAACATCAAACAGGCGTACATACTCTCGTGGAGGCTTACAGTTGTTGCATAACTTGAGGGAAAATAACACAAATTGATTTTCAGATGTATGTTTTACTTAATCTTACAGAAGTATTATAAGACAAATAGTCTCCTAATTATGCATGCAATGTATCCATGTTTAAACATTTTATCTACTGGATAATCACATTTAATTCTCTCTGAAGTACGTGTAATCCATGAATTTACATATTCATGAACTGTTTAATTTAGTAGGAATAGAACTGTATCTAACCATGAAATTTCCATAAAATAAAAGTGTAGTACTTTTTATTGAAAAATCGTAAAAATTTAACTCCACAAAAATATATTGTTTAACAATATTTGATAAAAAATTGATTCACATATTAAAATACAAGAAAAATAAGCAGAAACACGGGAAACTGAAATGATTTACCAACACTCACCTCAATGTACATGTTACCATGTACTTCGGACAACTTCTTACGAGGAAATCCACTCCTGAGGTGGAGGCCATCACAATTCTGAGACACGATATGATTTACCTGTCAACAGAGGATTTAAACACATTCAATTCTACTGTGAATGGGCAGTAATAGAATTGCAATATTTAAATATGTTACACAACAGACATTTTCTACATAGCTTAACAGAATGAAGTGTCTGCTATGATAACATACATAGCACTATAGCTATTTATACACATCTTCAATTTTCAAACTGAACTTATGACCTTTAAAGAAGAAATTCAACAATTATTGTTTTATGTTGCAATAACAAATTTTGATTTTATTTATTTTGAAACACGTTTGATGAAGGTGTGCTTTGGCCTTAAACTCGTCGGGCCTGGTGAATCTGATGTTTTTCTCCTTTTTTACCATTCAGTGAGTTATCGTATCTATTACATTCATGGTATGACAATTAACATTAATATTGATTTTTTGATCTCTGCAATCTGCTATGATCACCATCCTAACCTTATATGCACTATAAAATAAACTTCACCTGTAACAAGTTTTCTATATCAATAAATATGATAGTACTCACATGTCCTTCCTTCTCCAGTTCAGTTATACACATGTGTGTGACAGTCGGCTCTGCATCACTCAGATCCTGAGCTCTGAAAGTCATACATTACAGTCAGTACCAAATGGATAGCTTCTCATATATTGTATAGCTCCAACACCGACAAACATACATAAGTACTACTACTACAAAATCAGTATCTTACATTCAAGATATCTCTGACAACACAGACATACAGGTACAAATATAACAACATCAGTATCTTACATTCAAGATTACTCTGACAACACAGACATACAGGTACAAATATCACAACATCAGTACCTTACATTCAAGATTACTCTGACAACACTGACATACAGGTACAAATATCACAACATCAGTACCTTACATTCAAGATTACTCTGACAACACTGACATACAGGTACAAATATCACAACATCAGTACCTTACATTCAAGATATCTCTGACAACACAGACATACAGGTACAAATATCACAACATCAGTACCTTACATTCAAGATTACTCTGACAACACAGACATACAGGAACAAATATCACAAAATCAGTACTTTACATTCAAGATATCTCTGACCGCGAAAATCTTACCAATTGAAAAAACTTGATGATTTGATGGTATAGTGTGAATGTGAGTATGACTTAGCTAACATATTTATGCACATACAGGTATAACAGATATATCAAGGTATAGCACAGGTATACAGGTATAGCAGTGTTATACAGGTATAGCAGACATATATACAGGTATAGCAGTGTTATACAGGTATAGCAGACATATACAGGTATAGCAGACTTATACAGGTATGGTAGACTTACGCAGGTTGTTGTCCCTTTAGTAGCAGAGTCCACACACCATTTGGCCCTCTGTAATCTGGGATTGATGCAGCCTAGGAAAGTTTAGAATTTGTTTCTTAGAATTGATCACAAGCATCTTCTTCCAATCAAATTTACAATACATATTCCAACTTTTGCAGGTCATTTCACATGAATTGTGTTCATCCTTTAATACCCATACAAAATGCTTCTGTCTCAAAGTAGAGGGATATAGTCTAACAGTAATAGGCGGTAATATTTGGGGGGAGGAGTGGGGCTTTATTTCATTACTTAACATCTCTGTGTACTCTAATGATAATTTATCTGACAAAGACAACAAATTGCAGCCACAGAAATGTCAGATATCATCATCATGTACATATGTCACAGTGAAAATGTTACAAGAAACTCTAGTGGTATATATAGATATCAACTTAAAAACTAATTTTGCATTGTTGCAGTATGTTATATATCTAATCTATCAGCTGTGGTCTTAAGTCATGGATTGAAATAATAAAGTGATCTATTTAGATTTATCAGTTATGATATTAAATCTTGGACTACAATGATAAAATAAATTCAATATTACAGACTTACAGTACTTATGCCTGCTCCTGTGTAGATTACAGTACTCTTAGACTCTTTGATGGCATCTGCAAGCTGTTCACATTTCTTTTGTAATACATCTTCTGGGTCTTTAATCTTCAACAAAAATACCCAAATGACAAACGTGAATTTAAGTTCAATATGGGCTAATACAGAACATCAAATAAGATAAAACAATGACAACAACTAATGATAATAATAAAAAAAATAATAAAAAACACTGATTATAAATATAATGAAATAGAACATTGATCAAAACCTACTACAGATGTGTAAATATACAGCTACGATGTATAAAACAAGTCATTGCTCAATTAAAAACCCTTAATAGTATAAAAGACAAACTTACCTCTAATGTCCTTTTCTTTACTGCATCTCTGCGTAAGGCTTGTTTGGTTAGCCTTTTTGTAATTTCGGGTGAGTTAGCCAAGATCTGTAAATCTTCCTTTGTTTTCTCCGATTCAATCTTCTTCAAAATTTTTGAAATCTGAAATATGTGCAATGACATGATACATCACTAGAATCCCACATATAAACAAACACACGATACATTGTATGCATTTCAGTGATATTGTCAGTATCACGATACTCTGTTAACAAACTTCATATACTTGGTACCTTATATACTATTTATAGCAGCATTCTAGTATTACCTGCATCACATCCATTCTATTGCTATAATTAAATACCTGAAGTCTGGAATGGCAATCATGACAGCGTAACAATGTAAAACACTTCATATGGTATTGGTAATTTACTGAGGACATATAATACCATCTGAAAACTTCTGTTAATTGAGTATCATGAGACACCATTTTTTTCAGTACACCAGGTAGGGACCTGCTACATCTGAACTAAGTTATAAGTGTAATGATCTTGTAGATGAGAAATTCTTCTTATTAACTGGTCAATTCAATGGAAGCAACCAATATGCTATCAGTGTAATTTATGCTGCAAAAAATGAATTGCACAAAGTCAAGAAAGTTAAACAGTGATGATTGTTATACAAGACAGAAAAAGTTTGTGAACAATTTCTAGGCTCCCACATAATAGATATCAGTACATTGAAACAACGTTTCAACTCAAACTTTGACTGACATTACCTTGTATAGCACTTTCAAGTTTTATTTTATACAATTTGTAAATTTCTCCCTCGTCAAGTCTGTTGGTGTTGAACCTTTTGCTTACTTCTATTAAACCAAAGTTTTATGGAATTAGTTAAAAAGACAGCAACTTTTGTAAGTTGGTGTGAAGTAACCACCAGGTAGCACAAAAACCTGGAGTATTGTCTTTATCTTCCAAAAGCAGTAATCAACATCAATAACCAGGCAATTACACTGCAGCTTTCCAAACAACCGTGATGCCAACCTGGTAAATACTGAACAAGAGGCTTATGGGCCATAACAGTCACTGTACTGTACATAGCTATTTTCAACTAGACTTAAATTGCAAAAGGACACAACTCCATAAATAAATTAGATCAGCCCCATTGTTGAACTTTTCTAAAACCTTATTGATACAAGACTGCATACCAAGTTTCATCAAAATCTTTTAATATCTACTCAAATTTTCCTGTTAACAAGCTAATGTCTATGGCATTGCAAAGGACCTGATAACTATGTAACTTATGATCAAATCAATCCCATCATGAAACTTATCTGAGATGTTATTGATATAAGGCTGCATACCAAGTTCATATGTAGTCAAGTGAAAGTGTTCACAGAATTAAGAATTTCTCAAGTCATCATGTTTACATTAAAAGTTAATGCACATTGTCAGATGAACAATGATGGTTTAGGTCACCATGATCTCAGCTGATCTTAAAAGGAGCTTGAAGCGTAGAGAAAAGTCTTGTGTGTAAAAGATTGATTCTATATGGGTATCATAAATCACAGCCATCTTTTTCATACAAACATACAAGAACACTAACAACAAATGTGATTTTCTTTTTAATTTATATAATTACTAGAGAGTGAGTTTGGGTCAATTTTCAACATGGCAAGCTTTCAACCCTTCAGGATTTAAGTGTGGCTCTGCATGGGTACCTGAGCAAAACTTCCAGTGAGAAAAAACAGTCCCTGACAGGAATCAAACCCAGATCTCCAGTGTGATAATCTATAGCTCTACCAACTAAGACAATGAAGTGTGTTCTGTCAGCAATGTGAGAGAGCATATTTCAACACTTTGTACAAGTCTTCTTCTCCATATGAGAGTCAAAATGCTTAATGTGGAAGGTATACCAACCAGCATTGAATGATTGCTAACCGAAACCACCTGTAGTTTTTTTCTGAAGGAGGGAATAGTAGAAGGAGGTGTAATGAGTTAGGATGTTTTTAGATGTCCTCATGATAAAGCATTTGTCAACATTAAAATTCATTTGGCAGTCAGATTCGAATTTCTGAAGGTTTACGAGGTCTTTCTGAAGTTGCTCAGTCTCTGACTATATTGATGGATCTATAAAGGATAGAAATCATGAGACTGTTTTTTTACATCTTATTACATGATAAAGGGTGTGTCCTTTTTTACCAACTGTTTCTATCTAACTCTCTTAATCTTTCAAAATATCGTATATTGATCATGGTAGTTCGACATTCATCACGACGGAACAACACTCAACATGTCAGGTCCCTGTGGCAATGCCACTTACCGAAAAGCTTCCTTTACTGAGTACACGAAATAGAAACAAAAACAACTAAAATCAAGCTTTAAAGATGAAGAACTAAATCCAACCTAATACGTTTATATCCACTGGGCTAAAATCATGATCGATTTTGTAGCCCACTTTAGTCTTTGTAACATTCCCAACCTGATCAGACATGCAGTGTTTTTATACGCCTATTTTTTAACAATGAGCTATCTACCTGTTTTACTTTGTCTCTGTTCTCTTTCTTGAGTAATGATTGCGAGAGCCAAGAACATTTTCGTGCATTTCTAGTCGATGGTTTCTCTTCGTCGTCACTTTTCTCGTCCACAGATTCCGTCGATTCCTGTTCCTCCTCATCCGCCATCTTTACTGACAACATCAATCGCTTATATCATATCAAATAAAAATACCACACATTTTAATCTTGCTGCATTGTTTGCATCAAAACAAAGCATTGTTGCCTGATATCATAAAATTTAAAAGAAAACATCAAGGAGTCATTTCACATAAATCCATAAAATGCAGGGCATTTTGTGAATTTTTATGGCTATAAGCGGCATGTTTTGTTGTTAAAGTTATAAAGATCAAGGGTACACTGACTTTTTAAAGATGCCGAACACCAGGTCGTCATTGGCATAGGCTAGCACTGATTTTGTTACGCAGCATTTTATATATAAAGCCACCAGAAAGATGAAGAAATTCAACACACTTATATCTGCTAAATTGCTTCATGATTTTATGTCAGGGAATCTGAAGAACGTTAGAGTTTTGGATGCTTCATGGCATTTGCCAAATTTAAAGAGGGATGCCAAGAAGGAGTACGGGGAAAAGCATATAACTAAAGCTTCTTTTTTTGACATTGACGAATGTTCCGACAAGACATCGCAATTCGATCATACATTTCCCCGTCAGTCTCACTTTGAAGATTATGTAGGTCATCTTGGGATAAATAACAACACCCATGTGGTTATCTATGATAACAGTGAAGATGGATTCTTCTCTGCACCAAGAGCATGGTGGACATTCAAAACTTTTGGACACCAGTCCATTTCTCTTCTTAATGGAGGGTTCCCAAAATGGTGTCTAGCAGGTTATCCAACCACTTCAGATGTTCCCTCCTTTGTAAAAGAAAAATATTCTGCTTCTTTAAATAAATCAATGGTGAAGTCATTTGAGGATCTTGTCAGAAATATAGAGAAAAAAGAATTCCAGGTCGTGGATGCCAGAAGCGCTGCAAGGTTTTATGCAACAGATGCAGAACCAGGGAAAGGTAAAAAGTAGTGCACAGGATTCTCTGTAACTATCTATTCAGGGTCTGGGTTGATACAAATTGAGACAAAAATGAAAAATTGTGGAAAAAATAATCAGAACCCATAGGACTTGTTAAAAGGCATAACTTACAATTGATTGAACTATTTAGACATTCTATTGTATTTCTAGTTTGGGTCTGGAATCAATCCAGACTGATGGAGAATATCAGAGTAATTTCAGACTATATTTACATATGCTCTCTTCCATGATGGAAATTTTTAGTCTAATTATTTGACTTGTATTTATTTTACATGTGTTAAACTCATAGACAGAAAAATATTTAAGTTGAAAACACAGAAAAAAAAATGCCTCCTGTTGTATTGCACTACATTGTCATCAAGCCCTCTCCATGATATGGACACAGGAGTCAAGTAAATTGAGTTTATTTTTCTTTTTTAGTCATACACTTGATAGTGTATCCTGATCCTTCTATATATTCTAATTGCTGTATACTTATGTTTATATGTCAATAAAATGAATTGGATAAAGTTACAACCCTTTTAACCTTCCACATATCCATTAGGGCCTTCACAGAAAAACTTATAGATTGTATAATTTAAGGTCTCTTGTAGTATTAGGTTTTGGATTTTTAGCTACATGTTTAAATTTTTAACCATTCATTGTCCTATAAACCAAGATTTTGTTTTTTCTTTCAGTTTTATTTGCATCTATTATAGACTTATTTTTTGTGTTGGATACATTACAGGAAACCCAAGGGGACACATTGTTGGATCAGTAAACATTCCCTACAAAAGTATTATTGATCCCGATACAAAGGACGTGAAGAATCCTGATGATCTCAAGGCAATGTTTGCTGAAGTGAAGATTGATTTAGAAAAGCCTATTGTTGCCACCTGTGGATCTGGTACATGTCCTATACCTATCATAATGGAAGATTCTAAACAAGTCTTCAATGAGATGATATAAATTAAGTGGATGTGGTTTGGAGTATAATAAGATGTGGTCTTTTTACAAAAGCTACCTATCAGATGTTAAAATTATGATCATTGTTTCTTTCTGGTTTCTAATTTTGTCCTGATATATAACCAAAATGTTTTTATATTTGAATGTTAACTCTGAGGATTTGTTTCTCATTTCTATCTATACAGGTGTGACTGCCTGCTGCCTTGCCTTGGCTGGACACTTATGTGGTAAAGATATATCTGTGTATGATGGGTCTTGGTCTGAATGGTCAGTACGATCACAACCTCACCAACGAGTGTCTTCTACTGACAGGGAAGAGTGACCATCCATGCCATCCAACTTGAACATATTAAGGAGTGACCTCTCTTACCAAATCCCATACATACTTACTAAATCCCATACATACTTACCAAATCCCATACATACTTACCAAATCCCATACATACTTACCAAATCCCATACAAATCCCATACATACTTACTAAATCCCATACAAATGTAGTAGTAACCTCATTACTATTCTGCATGAAATGAAGAGGAGTGATTTTCCTTTCCATACCACATCTGCTCAAAAGTGATCTCCATTACTCTATTAAAGGTGCAGACACCCAGGGGAGTTACTTTCCTCACCAATCCACACTTGCTGTGTGGCAACCTCTGTCACCATACCACACATTGCTAGGGAGCGATCTCCCACACCATACCTCACATGTTGAGGAACGACTTCCCTAACCATACCACACATTAATGGGGAGCATGTTGGGCAGTGATCAACCTCACCATATCACACATTGCTGGGGAGCATGTTGGGCAGTGATCAACCTCACCATATCACACATTGCTGGGGAGCATGTTGGGCAGTGATCAACCTCACCATAGGTGTACCACACATGCTTGGTAGTGACCTTCGGCACCATACCACACATGCTTGGTAGTGACTTCCCTCACCATACTTGTAGCACACATGCTGGGGAGTCGCCTTCCTCACCATACCCACACATGTTGAGAAGTAAACTCCCTCAACATACCTCAAATGTTGGGGATTGACCTTCCTCACCATAACACACAAACTTGTTAGTGGTCTATATTGCCAAACTATGTACACTGGGGAGTGACCTTCCTCACTATAACTCACAAACTTGTTAGTGGTTTATATTGCCAAACTATGTACACTGGGGAGTGACCTTCCTCACCATAACACATAAACTTGTTAGTGGTCTATATTGCCAAACTATGTACACTGGGGAGTGACCATCCTCACCATACCATATACAATGAGAATTACATCCCTTACTCAACCACAAGCAGTGGGGAATGACCTTTCTTATGATACCACATATACGAAGCAGTGACCTCCCTGCCATACCAGACATACTGGAGAGGTACCTGCCTCACCATACCACAGCTACTACATGCTGACTTGAGAGTGTCCTCTCTTACATATTCCATACTACATACCCTGGTACACTTGGGAGTGACCTCCCTTGCCACTCGAAACACATGGAGGTCAGAGATAAATGTTCTGCTGTGTGACATGTTGAAGTATTGACTGCAACTGCTGGGAATGTGTCATGTATTTCAGTATTGGTCATGTGATGGTTTAAGGATTTTTGAAGAGGTGATGTGGAGTATTCATTGATTGCCCTTGGTCTGTTTTTTCTATCTAGTTGATATACCATTGTATGACCTTATTTCAAAGGCCCTTAATTTATTACCTATGTCCTGATAATTGGATTATTTTCTCGTATATATTTTTGAAGTAGTCTTATCATAGAATTGAACGTTCGGACAAATGGTTAATAATCAACAACTTTCTAAACTGAATACAAAAACACTAAAACTTTTTTAACAAATGAAATGACTGAATTAAAATATCACAGATGATCCTTTAATACATAATACGAGTCTATACTGTTTGACTCTTCTAGATTTTGAAACATGGAATGCAGATATGGTCTGGTTGTTCTATAGATAGTAAAATGGAGACCACATGTTATATATTGACCTATGTGACCACCTCTTGTCTAATCTGAAGAAAGGAAAATCTAACATATGTAAAGCTGAATCTTGACATTGTTTCTCAAAAGGTTATCTGATACCTTAGTTGTCTTTTTATCTGGTGTCCATTGTTTTCTTTATTCACCACAGTGCTGGAGTCATGAGAATTGGTTTGTAGCATGCTGGCTGGAAAACTACAAAATTGCTTTGAAAAATATGTTTTAATGAATGGCTTGAAAGTTGAATTGATATTTGAATGAATTTTAAAGTGACTTACATGGGATTTTGCTGTATTGAGTTGAGTTATACTTGAGGTGTGTTTATTATTATTATTGCATTCTTAATGGCCCGTCAACACATAAAAGGTCATTAGGGCCATCAACAAGTATCTTGAGGTATGTGAATGATACAGCCCTAATAGGCCTGTGTTGTGATTAATAATACTTAATATTTGTCTTATATATTGCTTCATTGATAATCTTATTTGATATCATAGGAACAATGGGCAACATTTGAAGTGTATGATATCACTGTTTATTTCTTTTTCAATGAAATAAATTATGGTGATAGACATTATGTTTATTTCTTTGTTTATGTATAGTAGATCACGACCTGAAAACTCATAAATTATAGTAGTATTTATACATGTTGTAGTGAAGGGGGAGGAGGGGGGCTATACTGAAGTAGTATGTATAAGAGAATTGCTTCAATTCTAAGTAGCTATATATTTATCTGCAGATTGGAGTACAGTGTGTATTTATGGTTTAGAGTTACTTCCCCTTTCAACGCGTTATAAGCAAGAAAGTCGCCAGAGACCCGACTCACGTCGATTGGACAATGCCTGGCGATGGGCAGAGTCACGGAGACGATAAACCTTCATCATCATCGTCGTCGTCGTCGTCGTCTTAAGTTAGATTTCGTCAAAAGCTGTCCATCTCCACGGACGGAGCTCAAAACTTTGAATATAGAATCAATATTGACTAATAAAGGCATAGATCAGAGAAGTTCGAAAATTACCGTCTAGAAATCAAGTAATTGAGAATTTAGAATTATGCAGTTATATACAAGCACGGACTACACATAAACTTTAATTAATTTAGTTTTAAACAAAACAGAATATTCGGCTGTGGGAAAAGGCACCAACCCCAATGAATATAATTTCTGTCGAAAAGTTAATGATTTTCACAAATTAAATTTTAGTGTACTTTGCCCTAGTCTTTGTCACAAAAGAGCCAGTTGACAACCAATACACTATTTGTCGTTTGCTATCGGGCTTCCTTCAGCTTACAATGAGGTTTATTGGTTGTGTGGAAAGTTGAAAAAAATCGATGTCCGAATTGTCCAATATTGATAAAGTTTCTTGTGTTTGGTCGGAATACCAAATTATTTAAGATCACGTCCTTCGTGAAATACGCTGTATATCATCGATCACACCGCCTTACGTTTCAAGAAAGACAAGAACAAATCGATGTTTAAAAGAATGTAATGCAGATTGATAAAACGAGGAAAAACATTAACAAAATTTTCACGGAGGCCAATGAAAAAATGTAAAGGTAAGAAAGGTTTTACAGGCCGAATGGTAAACGTTTTCCGTCTTCATCGATGACACCTGCCTTGGACATCTCTGTAAGAAAGGGATATCAGTTTTATGCTATGAGAAGGAATATAAAAAATAATACAGTAAAAAGAGTTGATATGTTCGTAGGTTGATGTTATTCTGGGGTTTAAAATTCACGTTATTGCTACTGAGAGTTCACAAACAACCCGACCATAACGCCATTCCTAAAAAAAACAGAGGACAAAGTTAAGTGAAATAACGTTTCCTAGTCTTTAATACATACAAAGTATACACGGAAGTCTAATATTGTCTAAAGAAAGCACCCGTCAGTGATAGAAGTGGAATATATAAATGATCTGTTTGTATTCCTAACCCTTTTCGTTATCTATAACTCTAAACGGTTTTATTATCTTTAATGTTGTTTGAATAACCTTTTTCTCCTTCTTTCTGATTCGTTAGCAAACAGTTTATTTTAAAATTAAAAAAAAATGTTTGTAATATAGACATATTTGCCATGTCTCCTCGAGATGTGTTTGCGTTCGATGTTTGTTAACACTGCCACATGGTTTTGTAATTTAAGGGACTTCGTGTCAGTATTTCTTTTGTCTCTTTCTCTTTTTTGAATGATTTTGTTAACATGTTCCTGTTTTTTTTTGTTGTTTTTTGTTTTTGTTTTTTTGTGTTTTTTGTTTGTTTTTGCTCTTTGTTGATGTTTGTTGTTTTTTTGTGTGTGTTGTTTCATATCAAAACATTTCGTGTGCTGTCTAGTAAATAAGAAATTATCTATATCAGTATTATTTAGGTGGGTGATGATCTGAGTGTACCGAGTAATGAGCTAGTACTGTCTACCGTCTTGTTTCCTGGTTCTATCAATGATACCGTGGAATATTTATATTCCCACATCCCCGTTTGACTTGTAAGACTGTTAAGATATCCAACTCTATCTTGCAATATCCATCCGACCAAAAGGGACAAAAATATTATTTTTTTTTTTATTTTTGTCTGCTTTTTGTTTTTATATCAAAATTGGTTCGTCAAGTTACAATATTAATACTGAGTTCGTTTAAACAATATCAATGTTCCACAAGCATACACAAATGTTTTACAAGTGGGATGGAAAAACACGTCTAGACCTTGTATTAATTCCCATGTTCAACACATCGTGTAATTTACCTGTCGAAGTCGTCTAGAGTAGCATACCAATTAACATTCTATACCTATAGCCATTTACAGGTGTCCCCTGTCAACCACGGTTAGATCTTCTGGGGATGTGACACGACTTCGCACAGAAAATGTATTTATCTTTAATCTATTGTTATATATTATAATTTTAATGAAGATACACGAGTCGACAGATTGGTTATATCTTCGCACAAAAACACATAAGTGAAAAGCACCTTTCAATATTAATCAATAATTAGATAGAGTAGAGCCAAATAATGAATTAGACTGTATCATACAACTATTTCACCCTTCTAGGGTTCGTCGATGATGCTAAATCATACAGCTGTTTTGTCCTCCCAGAACTCGTTAGTGACCTTACATCACACAGCTGTTTCGTCCATCTAGGACCCGACATGGCAGTGATGCTACATTACTCCTTCCAGGAATCGTCAGTGATATTACAATATCGGCATGTCAAAATAAGCTTCATTCTCACTCAAATTTGATTAGGCTATGGTAAAAAAAGTACGGTGTTTCAGAAGGGTAAGCGTTTTCTGCTTCATCGACGACACCCACTTTATCAATCTTAGTCAATCAAAGTAAGTAATGTCACTTATTCTCAAGCGAGGGAAATATATTCTCAATGAGATCATTATGACGGACGTACTTTCATCTTTCTAAACCATGTGTTGTGAGTTTATCTGTCAGCTGTCGACATCTTGCAATAAAGTCTTGATTTTGGGGACGTAATGAATCAACAGAGACATATACACACCATAGGTCGGCAGAAATTATGCTGTCTGTAATGTAAACATTAACACAGAAATAATCGAGATCCTTCCTCTGTTATGTTCAAGTTTTTTTTTACGCCGATTGAATGCCGGTCTTATATTTTGAAAATATTTCCATTTTCTATATTTCTACCAAATGATTCATGTTCACGACTTACAATTTTCAAAATTTCTTAAATGATCTATATTTCATTTTGTGCATGAATTTTCTTGTGGGTCCAAGTATAATATTATATTAATTTTTGAAAATGTATGTTTTGGTTTTGCACATTTTTGACATGCGACTTGGAAAAAAATCTGTAATAGTTTACAGTCGATTCCTTGGCAGGCTGTCTTATGGGTCAAAATGTGATAATGTAATTGAATTTTGCGAGCATATTTCTTGGTTACATTACCTAGACTGTACGTGTAAATTGTTGTAAGCTTGTGTAAAGCTGTAGTCAGTGTGTGGATAAGATCAACGACCGATATAAAGTTCTGATGATAATGTTAAAATCATAATCCAAACAACGTATTTACAATATATATGGGTACATCCCTTTGTGAGCTTCTTAGTATGTTGGTTTATAACGTTACAAATAGATAAATCTCACAATGTTAGAGATGCATTTTAAATCGAAGTAAAATGTAATTAAATCGGTAATTTATGATAAAATTATACAATGTTGTCACTATTATCTTATTCGTAGACTAATCATATGTTATACAATAAATTAATAATTAATAAAAGTTTCACAATTAAATTCTACATAACACCCTCTGTATGAAGAGTCGATGCGACTCGGAATATAAAAATACCGGTTTGGCGTACTTTTAAAATGATCTGGTATCACAGATAATTTCCTTCCTCATATTCCTATTCAATGGTAAACAATGTGATTGTAAGTACTGAAATGTTGTACTATCGACTGTACTACTGTTACGTGTCCATTGACAATGGCTGTGAATGGACTTCCCACAGAGTACACGTTCTCTTGGTTCGACCCATCACACGTCAATGGCCCGGCATTTCATTACCATATGTACTAGTTCACCTACACAACGATGAGTAGAGCACGATGGTTGAAAGCTTATTTGCATTTTCATTTCTCCGTGTTTTATTAGGTTCGTATATCTGTAGAAGATTCGGAATAATTAATTAATGGTTTGTCTAATCAATATTAAGATATACACATGTAGAGAGGACAGAGACGACACAATGAATTATAGATCTATGTATACCATAGCTAACAGTGGAGTTCTCCTACAAACAAAATCATTTGTATTCAGACACCGTATAACGAATCACCTGCAATTAACATTGTCTTTACTCAATTGCCGGTATACACTGTGAAAACGCCCTCGGGTTATTTCGGCAAACTTCGCTTCAGTTGCGCTTTAAAGGCCGCGTAAGGCTTTAGTGATATTCTATATTCAAATGTACACAGTTCTATGTGTACACGAGATTATTATAGTGGAGAATTTTTCGTGTCCGCTCAGGTGTGTCACGAATCCAGCGCCTCCCTCGGTACCTCTCGGAGAAGCATTACACCAGACCGGGTCCATGGATGGGAGTTGTATGGGGCACTAAGTCACATTAAGACGACCCCTCGGGGAATACCTATTAGGAGTACCGACAGGGTGCTGACTGTCCCTCCTCCTGATACAAGGTAAGCCGGCCCCAGCCTCACGCCTCCAGGAAGGCGTGGTCGAGCTCTCCAGTTGTACAGTAGGTACTGAAAACATACCTAAACATTGATGAATCAGGATAATTCCTAAATTATTGAGATATCTGCTACACTGTAGGTAATATAGTCCTCAATTATCACAGGTGTGGTGTATTGATTACTATAAATGTCTGCTCTGTTAACTACATTCACATCAGGCCAGACTGGTTTTCTATTTTTATAACTGAAGTGGTGTTTTGAAATATTAAGATCAAGCTTAAATGGTTTGATAACTCGTTTTCCTTTGTGATGGCTTAACGCGGATAATCTTGACTTTTTACATCGCCTTTGTTAATAAATATTATAAATACACGTTGACGAGGAAGTGTTATTGAAGACTGATCATAGACTATGAAGTTAGGGAACCGTGACATATATTAAATCTGTATACATACTTGTATGTGTACATTACTGGTGTGCAGTACTTCCTTATCTTCATACAGAACCCACTGGAACTGTGATGATATCTAATTAGTGTGTAGTCGTGACATAATGCTTACTACAGATATATATATTGACGTATAGATATTGGTTACTTATTAAGGAATAGTGCAGGGCAGTTAATATTTATTTTAGAAACCGTCATAGTCCTGCTAGTCCTCTAAACGACATCAATAAAGTGAACCGTCATAGTCCTGCTAGTCCTCTAAACGACATCAATAAAGTGAACCGTCATAGTCCTGCTAGTCCTCTAAACGACATCAATAAAGTGAACCGTCATAGTCCTGCTAGTCCTCTAAACGACATCAATAAAGTGAACCGTCATAGTCCTGCTAGTCCTCTAAACGACATCAATAAAGTGAACCGTCATAGTCCTGCTAGTCCTCTAAACGACATCAATAAAGTGAACCGTCATAGTCCTGCTAGTCCTCTAAACGACATCAATAAAGTGAACCGTCATAGTCCTGCTAGTCCTCTAAACGACATCAATAACGTGGTGGTTATACGGGTTACGGGTTTATATTTATCTCAGGAATACTGGGAAAAAGTAAATCCTCTATTATACCAGCACCCGGTACTTAGTCATGCTTGTGTAGTTTAAGGTAGGGCTGTCTAACTATGGGTGTTCCCGATATTGTAAAACTCTAACGTGTGTACCCCGCCGTATCCGGATGGAATTGTGACAGTCTCTATTCACGAAGTAGTCACAGCAAAAACGACACATCGTTATTGTAGTGCTACTGGAAACGGACTGTCAACACCCGCCCTATGACAATAAGAGAGAGCTACCAAACACCCTAATTGTAGCGCTGGCTGGACAGCAACGAGTACATGCTAATAGGGACATCAACTAATACAACAATATAAAAATCTGTAAGCGACATCCGCTGGGTATGATGTCAGCGTGATTAGATCAGCTGTGGGTGACCCCACATTTAACATTAAAACATATTCTAAAACACTTTAAGTAAATAAAGACACTATTTATTAATCAAGTCCAATCACAACACGAAGTTCTCCGCTTACTCATGATTAAATGTTGTATAACTGTAAGAAAAGCTTCACTAATTGTAGTTTTTACCATGATGGTACAGTACAGTGCTTCTCAACCCTCTCTACAGTCACAGTTAATGGACCGTGTGTAAACGATTGCGTACGTAGTTTGGAGAGAGATATCTTACAATCTTCGTCTATCTCTAAATTTCTTTTTACAAAGATTTTCTCTCGTAATTAGTCCCATCAATATTCTCCGTTACCGTTTCCGGGTTTGATCTTTTTCCTTTGAGTTTCTGTTCGTCCATACATCCTTTGTGTGTCGATTAAAAGAACTCGGCCGTTTAATCAAATGTTATACATCAGACCAAAAGTTGTTTTGAAATGACCCGATTTTTATGCGCATATATAAATATCGTTTAGATAACTGATATTGACGTTTACTAAGAACAGGTTTGTGATATGATATCGTTGATTAAAAGGGTATTAATTTACTCATGAAAAAATACAAACTCACTATCCGGAACGCCTACTGGACGAGAGGATGACATCAGGACTGGGTACTAGAAATATACGCTATTGTGAGGATGACATCAGGACTGGGTACTAGAAACAGGACTGGGTACTAGAAATGTACGTTATTGTGAGGAGGACATTAGGTGTGTGTACTAGAAATGTACATTATTGTGAGGATGACATCAGATGTGTGTACTAGAAATATACATTATTGTGAGGAGGACATCAGATGTGTGTACTAGAAATATACATTATTGTGAGGATGACATCAGGACTGGGTACTAGAAATGTACATTATTGTGAGGAGGACATCAGGTGTGTGTACTAGAAATGTACATTATTGTGAGTATGACATCAGGACTAGGTACCAGAAATGTACATTATTGTGAGTATGGCATCAGGTGTGTGTACTAGAAATGTACATTATTGTTAGGATGACATCAGGTGTGTGTACTAGAAATGTACATTATTGTGAGGATGACATCAGGTGTGTGTACTAGAAATGTACATTATTGTGAGGAGGACATCAGATGTGTGTACTAGATATGTACATTATTGTGAGGATGACATCAGAACTGGGTACTAGAAATGTACATTATTGTTAGGATGACATCAGGACTGGGCACTAGAAATATACATTATTGTGAGGAGGACATCAGGACTAGGTACGAGAAATGTACATTATTGTGAGGAGGAAATCAGATGTGTGTACGAGAAATGTACATTATTGTGAGGAGGACATCAGGACTGGGTACTAGAAATGTACATTATTGTGAGTATGACATCAGGTGTGTGTACTAGAAATGTACATTATTGTTAGGATGACATCAGGTGTGTGTACTAGAAATGTACATTATTGTGAGGATGACATCAGGTGTGTGTACTAGAAATGTACATTATTGTGAGGAGGACATCAGATGTGTGTACTAGAAATGTACATTATTGTGAGTATGACATCAAGTGTGTGTACTAGAAATGTACATTATTGTGAGGAGGACATCAGGTGTGTGTACTAGAAATGTACATTATTGTGAGGAGGACATCAGATGTGTGTACTAGAAATGTACATTATTGTGAGGATGACATCAGGACTAGGTACCAGAAATGTACATTATTGTGAGGAGGACATTAGGACTGGGTACTAGAAATGTACATTATTGTGAGTATGGCATCAGGTGTGTATACTAGAAATGTACATTATTGTTAGGATGACATCAGGTGTGTGTACTAGAAATGTACATTATTGTGAGGATGACATCAGGTGTGTGTACTAGAAATGTACATTATTGTGAGGAGGACATCAGATGTGTGTACTAGATATGTACATTATTGTGAGGATGACATCAGATGTGTGTACGAGAAATGTACATTATTGTGAGGAGGACATCAGGACTGGGTACTAGAAATGTACATTATTGTGAGTATGACATCAGGTGTGTGTACTAGAAATGTACATTATTGTTAGGATGACATCAGGTGTGTGTACTAGAAATGTACATTATTGTGAGGATGACATCAGGTGTGTGTACTAGAAATGTACATTATTGTGAGGAGGACATCAGATGTGTGTACTAGAAATGTACATTATTGTGAGTATGACATCAAGTGTGTGTACTAGAAATGTACATTATTGTGAGGAGGACATCAGGTGTGTGTACTAGAAATGTACATTATTGTGAGGATGACATCAGATGTGTGTACTAGAAATGTACATTATTGTGAGTATGACATCAAGTGTGTGTACTAGAAATGTACATTATTGTGAGGAGGACATCAGGTGTGTGTACTAGAAATGTACATTATTGTTAGGATGACATCAGGACTGGGTACTAGAAATGTACATTATTGTAAGGAGGACATCAGGTGTGTGTGCTATAAATGTACATTATTGTGAGTATGACATCAGGTGTGTGTACTAGAAATGTACATTATTGTGAGTATGACATCAGGTGTGTGTACTAGAAATGTACATTATTGTTAGGATGACATCAGGACTGGGTACTAGAAATGTACATTATTGTGAGTATGACATCAGGTGTGTGTACTAGAAATGTACATTATTGTGAGGATGACATCAGGTGTGTGTACTAGAAATGTACATTATTGTGAGGAGGACATCAGATGTGTGTACTAGAAATGTACATTATTGTGAGTATGACATCAAGTGTGTGTACTAGAAATGTACATTATTGTGAGGATGACATCAGATGTGTGTACTAGAAATGTACATTATTGTGAGGAGGACATCAAGTGTGTGTACTAGAAATGTACATTATTGTGAGGAGGACATCAGGTGTGTGTACTAGAAATGTACATTATTGTTAGGATGACATCAGGACTGGGTACTAGAAATGTACATTATTGTAAGGAGGACATCAGGTGTGTGTTCTAGAAATGTACATTATTGTGAGTATGACATCAAGTGTGTGTACTAGAAATGTACATTATTGTGAGGAGGACATCAGATGTGTGTACTAGAAATGTACATTATTGTGAGTATGACATCAAGTGTGTGTACTAGAAATGTACATTATTGTGAGGATGACATCAGATGTGTGTACTAGAAATGTACATTATTGTGAGGAGGACATCAAGTGTGTGTACTAGAAATGTACATTATTGTGAGGAGGACATCAGGTGTGTGTACTAGAAATGTACATTATTGTTAGGATGACATCAGGACTGGGTACTAGAAATGTACATTATTGTAAGGAGGACATCAGGTGTGTGTTCTAGAAATGTACATTATTGTGAGTATGACATCAAGTGTGTGTACTAGAAATGTACATTATTGTGAGGAGGACATCAGGTGTGTGTACTAGAAATGTACATTATTGTTAGGATGACATCAGGACTGGGTACTAGAAATGTACATTATTGTGAGTATGACATCAGGTGTGTGTACTAGAAATGTACATTATTGTTAGGATGACATCAGGACTGGGTACTAGAAATGTACATTATTGTGAGGATGACATCAGGTGTGTGTACTGTATATATTGTTTTGAAAATGTGATCACACAACGTGAACATCAAAGTTGATCTTTGTATCATATTTAACATTTTATTCTGGTCGCTTTGGTTTTTTACTTAGTTTCAGAATTACTATGCTATCAGCTCCTAGCATCACTTCATATAAAGTGACTTGCTTGTGTGTATTACACACTTTTCATTGTCAGGATTACTAAACATCTTTTTACCTGTGTTGACGTTTGATGACGATTAAAACACATTAGGTCACGTACATGCACGACGTCAAATTGATATCATTTTTGACTAAATTACACTCTCGCACCACATGTACGATAGGACTCGCACTGTCCTGATGTAAAACATGTTAATCTTAGGCGTTCACACCCCATGTAAACATTTATAAGTGTAATGGCCCCTGTTTTCACCCCATTAGTGTAATGTTGTGTATATACATATGATGAGATTGGAATGCTGTGTTACTCGTACAAATCAACAGCACAGCCTCTGGCTTTACAATACCTTGTCACGGTGTTATTGTAGATCTGTTTGTTTACCTGTCTATACTTCATCATAGTTCACTGTTCTCTTGTGAGGGGCTCTAGTTAACTGCTTAACTATGATAACTTAGTAAGAATTCACTGTTCTCTTGTGAGGGGAGCTAGTTAACTGATTAACTATGATAACTTAGTAAGAATTCACTGTTCTCTTGTGAGGGGAGCTAGTTAACTGCTTAACTATGATAACTTAGTAAGACTTCACTGTTCTCTTGTGAGGGTAGCTAGTTAACTGCTTAACTATGATAACTTAGTAAGACTTCACTGTTCTCTTGTGAGGGTAGCTAGTTAACTGCTTAACTATGATAACTTAGTAAGACTTCACTGTTCTCTTGTGAGGGTAGCTAGTTAACTGATTAACTATGATAACTTAGTAAGACTTCACTGTTCTCTTGTGAGGGTAGCTAGTTAACTGCTTAACTATGATAACTTAGTAAGACTTCACTGTTCTCTTGTGAGGGTAGCTAGTTAACTGCTTAACTATGATAACTTAGTAAGACTTCACTGTTCT